CGTGAGATAAACTGTTCACCGAACTCGCCTCTCAATAGGGCCATTGTTTCGTGTGCGGTGTGGCATGTGGCACCGTCTTGTTGAAACCACATGTCAGCCAAGTCCAGCTCTTCCATTTTGGGCAAAAAAGTTTGTTATCATAGCACGGTAGCGCTCGCCATTCACAGTTACGTTCCGGCCATTGTCGTATTTGAAGAAGTACGGCCCGATGATGCCACCGGCCCGTAATCCACACCAAACAGTGATTTTTTCGGGATGCATTGGTAGCTCTTGCAATGCTTCTGGCTGGTCTTCACTCCAGATGCGGCAATTTTGCTTGTTAACGTACCCATTCAACCAGAAATGAGCTTCGTCGCTGAACACAATTTTTCGATAAAAATGTGGATCTTCCTCCAACTTTGCCAGCGCCCATTCACCAAATTGGAAACGTTGTAAGAGGTCGTGTGGCTTCAATTCTTGCACCAGCTGTATCTTATAAGGTTTTACACCCAAATCCTGTCGCAAAATTTTCCACGTAGTGGAGTAACAGAGGCCCAATTGCTGCGAACGGCGGCGAATCGACATTTCACGGTCATCACGAACACTGGCGGATACAGCCGCAATATTTTCTTCAGTCCTCACTCTACGTCTGCGTGTTGATGGTTTAATGTCCAATAATGTAAACTGGGTTCGATATTTAGTCACAAGCTTCCGAATATCTCCCTCAGTAGGCCGACCAAATTGCCCATAAATTGGAAGCAGTGCTCGATGTACTCTCTTAACCGAGCATGAATTTTGATAGTAAAATTCAATAATTTTCAAGCGTTGTTCGTTCGTAAGTCGATTCATGGTTAAATTATAGACCAAACTGAACAAGTTTGACAACGACACAAGACACGATTCACGCGTCATCTGTCAAAAACAGTGTTGCCAAAAAGATACTAGCAAAAAAATCACCCATTAGTACCTTTTCTTATTTATTTGGGTCGTGCCTTATAGCCCAGGGAATATCTTCGCATCTGCTCACAAAAATATTTTATTCTGTTATTAAAAATTTTAAAAAATCTGCATGTTGTCAGGCTTCAATTGCGTCAAACATTGTTTCTGATTAAGGTTATGCGAAAAACCAATTAGAATATTTTACTTGCTGGACTATTATCGCAGGTAAAGAATGGCACCCAAATGGCAGGCAACATTCAAGCCACTCAGGTAGCATGTCAGCCACCGCGGCATGATCTGTTTTTTCGAAGTGGCTCTTCTATTCTGCGTTCTTTGTTCAAAACTGTGCATATTCAAGAGCCTGCCGGAAAAAAACAAGAAAAGATTACCAAGTATTTTCAAGTAGCGGTCTCAAAGCTGTTATGAACTTTGATCGCCGCTACAATATGAAGGAAAACAAGAAATCTCCACGAAGTTCTTACAAGAATGAATCAACAAACGCTTCTCAATGCCACCGCTTTGAAATACCGTTAGATATCTATAACTGTCTTTTAAAAATCTTCAGGACACTATTCGATTATTCAATTAATTTTTAATGGACATGTACACATACCTTGAGAATTTCTAAATGTGTAGTGAAGCCATGATTATTTTTGAACTTTGTTATCTCACTTTAACTGTAAAACCTTCGTATTGAACATTATTGCGCACAAATGAGAAAAGTACCCACTATCGAATTTAATTAACGCTGACCGCAAACGTCAATTGAATCAATGTTTTACATTTGTTTTCCATTAAGTTTGTGTACGAGAAAATACTCGGAGATAATAGTAGATAGTGGATAGTTCAGGATCCATTCACCACTGAACCCCTATGGTGAATGACATAAGATCAGTATTTACTATGATCTAGTATTATTGATGTATGAGGCTAGAAGTTATGGTAGGAATCCACTGACTATGACGAAATCATCAGTGAACACTGATGGTACTTTTCGTCGTTGTTTGTCACAACGGTTTGTTTTTGTTAGTATGAGGTTTGGTTAACCAGTTACCATTTACTGACTTTGTTGGAAAGAAAAGGCGCCTATACTAATCAACAAATTTGAACGGTGTCGTATGTTATTCATTCATTTCATTGATTACATGTCATGAGTTATCCAAAACGTGACAAAAAGTTTAGTATAGAAGTTATCAGATAATATTTTCGTATAAACCAATTTTTTTAGAAAACAATAGGGTCATGACATTAACTAACATACTTTAACTTAATGTGGACACGAAATTTAAAGTCGGTCGCATTGATATTTTTCGAGAAAGTATGGAAGTGAGATTAAAAAATTGGACCAAAAAAAATTCGTATATTTTGGAAAAAAGTAAGTAAAACCTAATAATAATACAGTGGACCTCTACCTTGTAATCCGAAAAATTACGTATCCAATAGTAAGATTATATATGTTATGTATATGTATGTACTTTGAAGTACAAATCATACATATATGTATGTATGTCGAATTTAGTAAATTAAATAACAATAGAGAGCTTACGTTTTATTATAAAATTAAGCATAAATGCACATACATATGTACCACAATAATCAAGAATTGTTAATCAAAATCATTAATGAATTTATCAAATTTGTATGAAGCTTGGAAAAATTCATCATTTTTTTTTAAGGTTGCTATAACGCGAGATCAGAGCTTTGTCCCTCAGTCTTCTCAAAAGTAAAAGTTCGTTGTAGGATGTACCATTCTCTTCAGCCCATTGTAGACCTAGCTCAAAGGCGTTAATTGCGACTTGTGCTGTGACTTGTGGAGTAGTTGCAATCACGTCGTCGTTATTTTCCTGATTGTTTGTTGTATAGTTAGAAACCTCTCTTCGTCAGACATTTCATGAAAAACATTTTCCTCTTTATCCATTCCACGGCACCAGATTTCCAAATCTTCCGGACTTATCTGTGTTTCAGTAGCGACTTGTTCTATAACTTCCGAAGTAACACTGATTTGTGGAACGTTGCTAAGAGTGGTGACTATATCTGGCCATAACTTTTCCAAGACGATTTAATAGTTGATGACGGTAACGCATTCCACAACTGACAAAGAGCAAAAACCAAGTCTTTCATATTAAATTCTTTTAAAGTTTTTTCTATTGGTTGGTCTTTTGATACGGCTCTCAGAAGTAGGTTTTCCTTATAGTCTTGCTTGACAAACTTAGTGATCTTCTGGTCCATTGGTTGAATCAGTGCAGTGCCATTTGGCGGAAGAAACATCGCAGTGATGCATTTATCCTCAGTTGTTAGTTCTTCTTCAGACGGATGACCGGGAGCGTTATCAAGAAGTAACAACGCGTTTTGAGGAAAATTACGATCTTTTAACCATTTTCTAACTTCAGGTACAAAGCATTCATCAAACCACTTTTTGAAAAGGCCTTTTGTCATCCATGCACTTTTTTGTCCGTAATAGTGTACAGGAAAATCAATGTTTTTGAATGCTCGTGATTTATTAGATTTCCCAATGACCATCATCTTAAGCGCGTGTGTGCCCGCAGCGTTAGCACATGGTAGTATGGTTACACGCTGTTTACTTAATTTTTGTCCAGGTACGGATTTTTCGTTACAAGAAACAAAAGTTTTGTTAGGCATCACACGCCAAAAAAATCCCTGATTCGTCTGCATTGTACAGCTGTGACGGGTCAAGATTTAAATCGTTCACCTTTTGCAAAAATCTCAATTTAAAGGGCTCTATGCAGGTGGCATCGTTAGAAAGTTTCTCTCCTGTAATAGTAATTAAACGTATGCCATGACGACTTTTAAAACTTTCTAGCCATCCTTTGCTGGCCACAAAATCAACTTTTTTTGTTATTTCCTTTTAAAAAAAATTAGCTTTCACGGCCAACAGGGGACCTGAAATTGGTGCATGCCTATTTCTTTTCTGAAGAAACCACATGTACAAAGCTTCTTCCACTTCTGGATGTTCAGCTTTCTTGAGTGTCTGTCTCTTGCCTGGCCCGCAGTCAGTAGTTGACACGAATTTCTTGATCTTCTCGTGGTTTCTTTTAATGCCAAATTGTAGATCGGCCTTGGTGGTATTCACTGAAAGTTTCATTGCGATTTAAGCGGTCTAAAATATCACATTTTTCTTTAATTGTCAATGTTTTGTGCTTTCGCTTCTGAGTTTGTGATGACATTACTTAATGCACAATGAATAAATAGTAAACAATAGACGCACGCTAGGCCGTACCGCTATCGCAAGTAGTCAAATTCAAACTAAGTATGTAGTATTAAAACATGTGCCACTACAGACTATCATAAAAATCCAATCAGTGGCAACAGAAAAACACATGAACAAACTTGATCAACCATCTTAAGGGATACATTAATAAATCTCTCCTAAACTGCATCAAATGAACAGGGTTGTAACTCCTCCTATTTAAATAATCTCGTATGTTTTTCGATTCGAACCGCGTAATTAAAAATGGTACTTAAATTATATGTATCTTTCAAATCGCCTGGTATAGTTTCCTTGCGGATATTTCTGTATCGTTTCAGAGCAAATCAACGCTAAACTTTCACTTCGCCGTCACATAGTGGGTGGACCGAAGGCTATTTATAAAACTTGGATGCTCACCTCGTGATGCTTTCTACGTTCGAAAAACGCTCTGGAAAAATATTTGCTCTTTTTTTATTCGTTACGTTGTGTCGGCTGCAGGCAGTTATTACAAAATCCACTAACTCGGGATCGCAGATGCATACAACTTCCGAATAAGGTGAAAGTGCAAGAAGATACGTCTAGTCTAGTCGTTATCTACGCCTACATTTTTCTGTATTTTGAAAATCGACCCTTCGATTCGGATGCAAATTCCATGGTGTGATAAATACATGCGTTTGGAATAACAAGTGTATAACAATTTGACTGGTAACATATCCCTAGACTGCACTAATTTTCTGTGTTAAATGACTGTATGGATGCAAATTGGTAATAATACATTCAAAAGTAGTTCTTTTTTATGCTTGAACCACCACGCAGGCCTTTGGCCTAAACACCCGTTGGTACCATGAGGCTATAGGGGGATACATAGGGAAGCGGGGATGTCACACGGACTCTAGTGAGGAAACCCGTGTGCATGTGACGTACAGACATTCTAGCCTCGCCTTAGAGATCCGCTGGGTGGTACCTCCACGTTCGACAGTCGGAGACCGTCTAACAACTACCGACAATCACAACGTACATACCCAAAAGAAAAATTCTCTTAGGACGAGACTCGAACCAGCGCAACTAACGGCGACTGATCAGTAGACACGTAGCATCCGCTAGGCTAATCCATGACACCTCTATAATTCAGAAAGTATAGCTTGGTGAGATTTTGATACCAAGTGAGTAACTACTATGTCAATGAGAAAAAAACGTTATAACGTTTATTAAAAAGCATACAATTAAAGGCGTAAGAAGTATAGTGTCAAATCTGATTAACGTTGTTTTTTCATAAATTTAACTTCTGATTTCTAACTTCCGACTTCGAATCATCAAAATACTGTTAACAACAAACACACAGGTCCCAGCATTATAATTTTCAACTAACGTCTAGATGTAATTATAATTTATTGCAATACCTCAAATTGGCGTAGCCTGCCGAATTTGATGTATTAACATTTGGAAGATAGATATTTCGTGGTTCAAGAGATCCCATATTATTGCATAACCTGTAATTTTGTCTGCTACATGTTATCCTATTGGATACACACATCATGCATATGCCTATCAGACACTGATTATGTGAAAGTAGAAAGTTTTATTCTTGTATACCAAACAGAACTGTGTTTGTCACTGATAATTTGATATTTTTCTGTAAAGTGACTTCCCGGATCGGTTTTGGAATGTTGCTTTGAAAGTAAGAAATGAATGAACCAGTGATTTTTATGAAGTGAGCTATTTTCTTGGTTAGGAACGTAAAGAAATTGTTGTCTTTTTTCAATCATTGAATATACATATTTTTCGATATACCGTAAAGTGGGGCTACTTTGTAACACTTTTTTAGGTTTTTTGAAGATTTATTTCAAATTGTTTGAAGTATTATAATTTAAGATATGCCACCTTATAGTCCCATCTTTTTTCTATCTCAAGTAGAAGATGTAATTCAATAAATGTTATAGAACTCGAGAAAATGCCGGAAAAAGTTGTCACAAATTAACCCCATAGGTTGGGGTTACTTTATAATTCATCTCTGAGAAGAAGGTTGGTTGAATAGCGAAGATCACAACTGGATGATTGTGTGTATTGGGTTGCATGTGTATAAAATCAGTGATATTTATTGTGTCAGAAAATATGTTGTCCTTTCAAAGTTATAAATTACGATTTTTTACGTTTTTTTATGTTTTCAAAAACTGAGGAGAATTACGGGAAATCACCACCGCGCCCGCGTTGTATTTAATTACTGTTAGCATGTATGATTTGTAATTCGACAGTGTACAGTGATTATAATTATTTCTTATCTCTCTCATTTTTTAAATTCAGCAAATTTGCATATTGTGTAATTTCCAGAATGGATAAGAGAAAGTGGATGCGCAACTAATTTCTAGCTTTGAATCTCAAGTATCCAATGGAATTATCATCAACACATATTATTAGCACACACATCCTCACTATGCACCTATGCATTGCCGTTGCCTCCAGTAATGCCATCTCTGAAGCAGTCTTAACATCACATCAAAATCAAGCATTGATAACTGAAGCCTCATGAAGCTTAGGCAACACGTACAACTACAAAACAAGTTCACAAGGTGTCCATCAGCTAGTGCTAAGTTAACATCTTGTAGAACAACCTATATAATGTCACAAAAAAACAATACAACGTCAACAAAAATCGACATCATGCCACCTTTAGAGATATGTAATACCTGTGCCGGAATCGATCCTATACAGACTTGACTCGATTCAAAAATATGTACGCTCATAATAAAACCATTATTTGCGTATAGAGAGTAAACGATCGCATATTTTCAGGATGCATCTTAATTCAAGGAACTGGCGTAACATATTGGCAACGTGGCAGATTTCCGCGTCAGCATTGCTAGGCAACGCGGTGATGAGCTTCGCTATCCAGCCGGCTTCTCTTTTTAAGATATGTGCCTATAAACACTTCTCTCTTTAATTGAACTCAAGCCGTCAAACAAATTTGATTTTCAATGTAGAGGCCAATCTGGCAAAAAGAATATTTCCCCCGATCTACTGATCTGGGCCAGCTAAAAACTCATATCGAATATCCGCTACTAAAGCTTCGCCATCATTGCACCTGAATACAAAGAAATGTTTGTTGATATAGTTTGTTATTCATTTTGTTACAGATCGAGCCGTATTTATATGGGAAGTGAAAGACCTCACTCAGAAGGATAAGAGAAGTCTGCGAGTCAACATAGACTTCGACTATGCCACTCACGTTAAATGGAGTCCAGATTCGAAAGCGGTCATTATTCACAAGAGCCACGAGAACGTATTGGAGGTATACAAGGTCGACAAGAAGAAAGATGGATGGCTGCAGGCCAGTAAGGCGTTAACATTTCCAAAGGTAGGTGGAACATTTGCGTTGAGGCAGTATTCTGACTGACTTCAGGACACTTTTATGGCCACCTTGATTTTCACAATTTTCTGCTGTTCTGTGCCTACGCTCTATTTTGAGGTTATGTCACAAATATTTATTTGCATCAAATTGTTCATACTTTGCATTTATATCACCTGTTAATCAGCCTGAAATTTCCTAGAATTTTAAAAGAAAACATAACTGATATCAAGAAATATATCGCCTTTTTTCCTAAATTTTTGTTTTTCTTTTATAGGCTAAGTACTTATCGGACCGCCCTCGTAGATTGAGCTTAAATTTGTTGAATTCGAAACATGTTGTCCTTCTGACATGGTATGTAGGCTGTTAAGCAGAACGCCGATAATAAACCAAAACATTGAGCTTTATCGATTTTGTAATAAAGTCGGTACGTTTTTGCCGCGTTTGTATATGCACATCATTCAACATCCATGCTTAACAGCCTACTGGTGTTAGGAAACGCAATGCATGAGTGAAAACGACTACTGCATGACACTTCTAATAAGGTAACGCTTACATAACGTAGACGAAAAAATAGAAAAACCGTGCCTATATCGAAGAAAATCTGAAACGATGTTGCTAGAACAAACAGTTGTTTTGAAAGGTGATTACTTTTTTTGATTGAATCAATGTAAGCATGTGTGAAAAAAATCGTGAATAAATACGGAGACAAGGTAAAAAATATTTCAAAATGTGAGCTGAACAATCAAGGCTGCTTAAAAAGCAATGTATGATATATTGTTTGACCTAAAAATCAATTTCATTTGTTACGCCTTTCTTAATGTTCGCGTTATGTATTTTGATTTCTAGATAATCATACGCGTATTTTTCCTCATATATTACAGGAACATAGACTGAACTTAAACTGGTACTTTACTGGTACCAAGTCGAAATCTACCGTTTAGTCCCTGAGATATTTCTAGTAACATTTACTTGTGCTCATATGAGAAACATCTTCTCGTGTCATTTCAATTTTCATCTAGAAAAATTATAGAAAAGTTTAAAAAACCCATCATATGAAATTCAATGGGCTTTAAATAATTATATTATACTCGTATACTGAACACGAGAAAATATTTTACACATTGCAAAAATAAAATTTTGCGTACTTTCTTGTAAAAAGCACGCGTATGATGTTTTCAAGCTCCTTATGGGGGAAGCCACGTCTCTTGCATTATTTCTTCAAGCCCACCAATTCGAAAAATCTTAAAATATCCATAAAAGTCATATTGTTTTCAAATTGAATATGAAACTATTGAAATTCCCTCAGGAAAGCTCTAAAAAGTTGTTTTAAAATTGAAAAACATCATACAAAGGTTTAAAAAACTCAACATGTGAAACTCAATGGGCGTTAAAGAATTATCTCAAAATTTGAAGAAGATCTACCGTCCCATTTTCTCCATATTCGGTCTGGAATCTGATAAATCCGTGGTTTCCGTCGTATTGATATTTTGGCATATCGTATGTTTTAAAACTGACCTCATGAAACCTAAGCAGCATTAGAACGTTACTGCTGCTAGGCGTGTTACTTGTAGGTAGTGGTATTTCTGTTCGGTCGACGGTTTGGGAGAAATTTTATCTCCGACTCGCGCGATTGTGATAACTTAAGCTTTTGCAGCCAAATTTATCTTTTCATAATGAAATCGTTCTTCAGATATTATAGATATGTTGAATTAGTACTGGTGAATATAAAATGATTCTTCAAATCTCATACAGCATTTATCACCAATATTATACAGCCGATAGTATAAATGCAAAGACTGGGTTGATGATGTATTTCCAGTTGCCAAATCGCACAAGTCAGACATTCATTAACACTAAGCCGGTTCTGCCACTGACACTTCCTGTGATGCCCCAGCTACTTTGTAACAAAAACACAGTCTGTACTATTTAAAGTATAATTTATAACTCACTCACTAATTTATTACAACATTTGCAACTAATTTATCACAAAATGACTGTAGACTGTATTATCGTGTATTGCGCTGTTGAAAACTCATCGACGACTCTGCCATTTTGACATCGTAGCGCCCACTTATTTCAAATCTACCAAACCAGAGCCTTCCAGGGGTAGAATGCGGGCTTTCATCGAATCTTGCTAGATGACGTTCGATGGTTCTCGATGGCAGTAGATGCTTCCCGATGGGTGTCGAGCGATCTCGGATGCGTACGTGCTGCATACACGGTCGCGTAATACTGGTTGCCTAAGCGTCGATGTTATGGGGGAGTCTCATCGGTACTTCAAAGTTCTGGTTTACGAGTGCGCTACAATATGGCTTATGTATAGCTGTTATCCTGAAGGATATATTTCTAGGAAACTAGTACAAAATGAACTTTTTTACCTATTCCTATATCCCGCAGCGGGCACACGTGAGGTCTTCATCCACCCCCATCACACATGGTTGCGAGGTCTGTAAATTAAGTGATGAGACTGATTTTTTTAATCCTTTTATACAAATATAATTACAATTTTATATTTTCACCCTCAAAATAACTTTCCCCTGAAGCCGCACAGCGCCCTCCTCATAGCAGTAGTCGAACTCCGATACTGGAATAGCCTTCAGCTGGTAACAGCCGTTTCAGTGTTTTCGACTGTCCCAAAATGAGTCTTGACGTGATTTTTTAGAGAGAGAAAAAAGTCACGAGGACTCAAGTCAGGGGAATGAGGAGGCTGAGGAGCCTCGAATGTTTTTACTGGCCAAAAACTTATTGGCATTGCTGTGTGACAAGGAGTATTATCGTGATGTAACACTCAGTTGCTCTTGATCTGATGAACGGTGGTGTGAGTCAAATTTAGCTCTTCCCTGATCTGAACGCACAAGAACCCGGAGTCTGGCGATATTTTCATAGGTTCTTGAAGATGAAGGCCTTCCGCTTCGTGGCTCAACTTCAATCGACTCTCTCCCTTCTGAAAATGCCTTACACCACCGAAAAAACTGTCCTCTTGATAAAACACTATCTCAGTAGGCCTGTCTAGCAAGAGATTTCATTGCGATGTGCCCAAGCCTGAAGAAAAAATCACTACCGACAACCAAACCACTCGAGCGAGTTCAAACTTGTACTGAAGACGTATCGCATGTTCCCTGTCTCCCCTACAAGCCCGCCGCCTTCAGTGTTGTCAGATTGTACGCTACGTTGCCAGTCTCATCACTTAATTTACTGACCTCGTATATCTAATTGAGTTATAGTGATCAATAACCTAAGTTGTTTCTGTGTAAGGGGCAAAAAGTCAATCCTTGGTACTGTGCCATAAGATGAGATTTCACAAAAAAATGTATCCGTCTCCAGAGTTTTTTATTTTAATAATGGATGTTGTATAATAATAATAATGTTTATTGTCACAAAATACAGGTGAATATCAAATATTGTGCACAATAAACATAAAGCACCCAAAAAAAGTTTGCACTTGTGTTTGGGTTTGTTAAAAATAAAAACTAATAGTACAGTCAGTGTATGAAAAAAAACCGTTAATACTGTCAATTATAAGTAAAGTAAAAGTATGGATGTTAGTGTAAGTAAAATATTATTGATTTTGATAATGATTTTTCAGATCTACAATTTCATGGATGGAGTACCTTGGTTGTTGTAAAATCCAATTTTTTTGTTCTTTTTTAAATTACTTATTTGATTTAATTACTTTTAATGACTCTGGTATGAAGTTATAGAATTTTGGTCCTAAGAAAAACAGAGATCGTTGTGTAAAGGTTTTTGATGTTTGTGGAATACACATTGAATTTTGATTGAATCTTGTTGGGTAGTTATGAATGGTACGATTCAAGTATTTCGAATATTTGAAATAATGTATTAGACCATAATAAAAATAAATTTGTCTGCAATCTAATAGCTGAGCCTTCACATATAGAAAATCACTTGAATAAGTAATCTCCCTATGGAGAATCAATTTTAGAATTAATTTTTGGATTACATCAACCTTTTTGTAATTATTATTCATAACTCCCCCCCAAGCCAAAATTCCGTAAAGTAATAGAGGATAAACAAGAGCATAATATAGATTATATAGATATTTCTTATCTAGAATATCTCTGAAGTACCTGAATTTTGGAATAATACATCACAGTCTCTTCACAAGGTACTCTGTATGGGTATCCCATTTTAAGTGTTTGTCCAAAATCACGCCTAAATATTTTATTTTATCGGTTGACTGAATCTCTTTGAGACCACTGCTTGTATGAACTTCAAGTTTTTTAAATTGTGGTGAGAGCCTGTCGTTACAATAAAATGCTATATAATGTGTTTTATTGTAATTAATTGTCATAGTTCTTTCTGAAAAGAAATCTATAAATGTTTTGAAATCATGTTCAATTGTGGTTTTTAGTGTATGCCACTGGTTGCTTTCATAGAGAATAGCTGCATCATCCGCAAAACCGATAATTTTACCTGTACTACTTATTTTGAACAAATCGTTGATAAATAGATTAAATAAAATGGATCCTAATACTGAGCCTTGAGGTACACCGTATGATATAATATGGGGTTCACTGAATGTGTTATTAATTTTGACGCACTGTGTTCGATTTGACAAATTTTCTATAAGTTTGTATGCTATTCCCCGGAAACCTAAGTTTTCTAAAGTTGTTAAAAGCGATTCATAAGTAATAGAGTCGAATGCCTTTGCCAAGTTAACAAAAACACATGCAGTTGGTTTGCCAATATCGAGATTCGTGTATATTTTACAATAGCATCTTGAGCAGATTTGCCTTCTTGAAAACCATTTTGCTGTTCCGCTATTAAGTTATATTTTTTTGCAAATTCGGTAAATCGTTTTTTTAACACTTTTTCAAATATTTTAGAAAAATTTATTAAGATGGTTGACGGGTTTTTCTCTTTCTCCAGATTTAAATAATGGTTTTACCATAGCGTGTTTTAAACATGTAGGAAATACTCCTTTATTCATACAAGAATTTATCAAATGTGACAGTATGCCGCAGATGTTGGAATTTATTCTCTTGAGAGTATACTGTTATATTATCTAGACCTGCAGATTTTCTTAATTCCAATTCATTGATTATTTTCAGCACCACGAGACCGATGTGATAGGAATGGGCATTGCCAGCAATGGCAAATACATCATGACTTGCTCAAACAAGACTGATATGGTTATATGGGATTTGAAGGGCCAAAAATTGGCCGTTATTGATACATATCTTATGAACACCGTATGTGCCAAGATATCTCCTTGTGGACGATTCATTGTGGCCTCAGGTAAGAAATATAAATTTCTTTACAAAAATAAACCGTTTTTTCAAGTTTCGGATACTTAAAAGCGTCAGCAAGAAAAATTTGAGTGCATCAAAAATTCTTAAAATGTTCGTTTTTCAAGTTACATATGCTCGAATGCCAATAAAGACGTTCAGTTTATACTTATGATAAAATTGAAAATCAATATATGTATATCGAATTGTGGGAAGTATCGAGACAAACTATTTGACCCGATTTTTGAAACCAAAAGTTTTCTAATGTTTATTTTCCACTATACATATGGCTATGTTGTGAACATGCATATTTCAACCATTATCCGCATAACTCGGAAAGCCGATAGTGAAGATCAAATCCGTGCTATGATAAAGTAACATTGCCTTATGCTTATTTCTCAGGTTTCACACCAGAAGCTAGAGTTTGGGAAGTTACGTTCAACAAGTCAGGTGAATTCCAGGGAGTAAAACAGATAAAACAGTTAACTTTAGGCGGACATAGCTCTGGAGTTTATGATGTGGCTTTTGACGTAGATTCTTCACATATGGCTACTGTTTCCAAAGATGGGACATGGAAATTGTTCGACACCCAAGGTAAGTTGGATTTAATTTGACTTTGGTAACTCGAATGAAGCAATAGGGTGAGTTTTTACTCAAACAATATCGATGAAAATAACGTGAAATAAGCTGAGAAAACTGGAGTGAGGTGAGCATATATTCTTTTGATAAAACTGGAGCAGTTTTTGTGTTTGAAACACTCTGCCCTAAGGCCCGTATCGTCAGTCGTCCCTACAATTGTAGGGCGCCTTTATGGCTTCCTTGATTGTCATAGTTTTCTACTTCTCCGTGTCAGCGCTCTATTTTGAGGTTATGTCACAAACATCTATTTGCATCAAATTGTGCTTGCTTTTGAGTTATAGCATGTTTTATCAGCCTGAAATTTCCTACAATTTAAAAGGAAAACATATCTTCACAATAGGAGAGCGCTGACGCTGACACGGGACAAGTGTAATCTAGAAATTTTTGAAGGAGATAAAGGAGTATGACAATCAAGGAGGCCATAAACGCGCACTACAATTGTAGGAACGACTGACGATACGACCCTATCAAAACCTTAGTTTCTAATAAGTCTTTTAAAAAACGTGTGCAAGCATTTTTGGTAGAAAAATGCTATTATTCTGTTAATGTCTTTGTATCGATTTTGTCGTAACCTTGTTTGATTGTATTCATTGTATTTTGACGTTTCATATCCGCGAGGTTGACATGAATAAAAGTTATTATTATTATTATTTCATCGAAAAGGCTGCTTGAATTCAGTTCATGATTTCAGTAGTGGTATTTTAAGGCTTTGTATGGTTAACTGTTGCTGAGCAGGGTACACGTAAAAAAAAACGCTTATTTTGAAGGTGTTAAACATGATAATTATAACATGCAAAGTGATTCTTCAAGGAAGTCTTAGTGATGATTTATTTACTCTTAAAGTATATAATAATGGATATTTTCCACGACGATGTATCGAGTTTGTAATTTTTTCTTAAAATTTTGCATTCAGGACCAATATATAGTATTCATTGGTTTCATTGTTTTTCGACATTCCAAGGTCGGATCCCTCTTTCTGAAGTAGAAATGTATGATTGTTTTTTAAAAAATACGCAACTGCCACTTAAGTAAGTATATTAACAGCTCGAGAATGTTTCGGAAGTAGCGCGAAATATTTTCCTATACAATAATAAATATAAAATAGCGTATAGTTATATATACAGGTTATTAATAAAGTATGTAGACAAACTTTAACCATCGACTCCTTGGTCAATTTGAAGAAGAAATTTCCGCAACGGCATTGTTTTCAAGCTAGAGCATATTAGCACTAAAAGAAATGATGATATTGTTCTAAAAAAATTATGGAGAATGGAACGTATTTTATTTTAATTAAGTATGCCCTGTGGTGAATATCACATGATTTACAGTTGTTTTCTGACCCTCCATGTACGTAGATACGGATAATGTTATCCAGTATTTTTTGAAAAAATAGCATGGCATTGATTTGTTTTGATCGCAATACTGTTAATACGTAAGCATTGTGCTTATCTAGACACCTATGACATAAGTGAAAACGATTGAATTAATTTATTTTCTCAAATAATGCGTGGCCACTTTGAACATTTATTGTAAAAAAAAACTATTCGATATTTTCTATTGTTGTCGTTCTATTCGAATGTTACTGTTTAAAACTATTGACCTTCTAAATAATTTTTTTCCAAAAATACAGGATAATAATATTTTCATCCATGTCCATATTGAGCCTCAACAACTTGTAAAACATGCAAAATTTATCATAGGTTATACCAACTGTTCAATAAATACGTTTCATTATTCGTAGATACACTTGGGGAGCAGTACTCGTATTTCTTTAGTAATAGTGCTCTAGCTCGAAAAGAAAGGCGTCACGGACCCATGTTCATATGAACATTTAGTCTTCAAATTGATCTTTCATGAATTTTTCTCTAAATTTCAGAACGGCGGGCCCAAGAAAATGTTATTTTTCCTCGGCAACAGACAACAAGCTTCTTAGTGCTTTTTTGAGAGAATTTACATAGTTTTATATTTTCAGATTGTAAAGTGATCACACAACTTTTATAGATATTTTTGAGCCTCTCGAATTGGTGTGTTCAATGAAATAGTGCATAAAATGCTGTTTACCGCTTTAAGAGCTTGGAAATAGTATAAGCGTGTTAGCAGCCACTTTTCAGTAGCCATTTTTTTCTGTACCAAATACGGACTTTTTGATGATTCCTTCTTATTTCTAACTGATATAGGCAACATACAGTGATATATTGTAACAAGAATGAAAGGTACTACGAGCGCCATCTGTTGGGAACCTCGCTAGGGACCCTCCAAATTCACACCCAAAAGAACCCAGAAAAACGCTACAATATACAGTTTCACCCTTAGTGTAAATAGGCTATAAGGACATGTAGATCTAATCTTTTTCGGATCCGTCAAAGGGGTCGATTTCACCCGTTGAATGTAAGAAAGTGCAGTTTTTTTGTATTTTTCACCTAGCCAAAAAAGTTGCTACAGTCTAAAAATGGTTGAAAAGTGTTCCTCACAATAGTAGCTATAAGACAACATAGATTATATCTTCTTCGGACCCGTAGAAATATCGTATACAACCTACCGCCTCCCTTATATACACCACTGACATACCAGAATAATAATAAAAATTAAAATATATTTGCGGATAAACCATTTTATAAACATACACTGAATATTTGGACGACGGTAGGTATTTGCTAGTCTACACATCCTAGATATGGGGCTGTGTACAGTTTAGTTATTTCTTTGAAAGTTCACAGAATAGAACTGATTTAGCCTTGTCTGTCTGGCCAGAATGTGCAAACTGATCCTTCTAATAAATCAGGGGAACACAACAGAGTATCACACAACTTATATAGAATGCAATTATCAAAGTAAATTCTATTCTATTTTCTAATGACTTGATTTTTAATAATTCATGTAATTAACCTTAGTGAATTTCTTCTCGTGATATTTTTAGTTTATAAGCTACATGTCTTAAAAATCTGTTTGGTATACATTCAATTGAATGTATAATATATCTATTTTGTAGTAAGGTGTCCAAACAGGAGATATATATTCTAGAACTGTTCTCACTTCTCCACAATAAACGTATCTTGAAGAAAAATATCTTTAAAATCCTCCAATGATTGAATAGCAAATCCAACTCATTGCGTAGCTTTGTATTCAATATGATTTATGAAAGAAAATTATAGTTCATAACAATCCCTAGAAGGTCTTTGATTATATCTACCCACTCCAAGACTTCAGTCTTAAAGCAGCAGCTAAAATCCTATAAATACATAAAATATATAAAGTTCATAAGCTCATAAAATATATAAAGTTCATAAGCTCATAGGAAGATTTAGATCTAAAAGATCTAGATTGGCAAACCTGTCTTTCCAATCGATCATTGGAAGCTTTGCATGTTTGACTGTTAGGAATAACATATGTTTTTATATTTTATATAGTTTTAAGAAATCCATAATTTTTTTCAGTGAGCTACAAGTTGGGACAAGACGCCCAGTGCCTGAAAACTGGCAAGTACGAGCAGGCTAGCAGCGATGCCTTAATTGCCTTATCACCAAATGCAGAGGTACTGGTCATCGCTTCAGGATCCGATCTGTATTTTTACTCTACTCTTACGGCCCAGCTGGATTACACAATTGAAAATGTTTACTCAGGTAAAGTACATTTTTATCAGTTAATAATAGTTATTTATCATGTCGTTAAATGAATGCTTATGCCCTGCGACGTGAAATTGGAGGTGCAAAGTGCTGCGGGCTTTAACACGCCATTATAAGCACTCATTACGCCCGACAAAATGTTATCCTTTGGGGCAGCCAAAACTTTCATGATTTACGGAATATGCTTCTTCATAGATTTCGGTGTTTTTCTGTACAACCACATATGTTTATAAATTACTTTTACGGACTTTTTGACCACCACGGTAGCCTTTTTTAAAATGCAGTTTCTCATATTAATTACATGTTACATTAAATGATATTAACTTATTCCTGATGATCTGTTAAGGAAAATATCTCTCAAAGACTAATCCACATGTTTTTATAGCTTGTTATACTGTTTAAATCATTGTTAGTATATGTCACAGTGACAGTGACGGAGATCCTGCCAAACCCAAAGTACCCGATTCTTGACGGGCTTACCTCTGTGACATAGTATTCTGAGGTATCGCCTCGGACAACGGAGAATTGCTTATTGTACAGTGCAATTGAAACATTGACATATTCGATAAACTTCTATGAAATGTATTTTTATTTTCAGACAATATATCTGCGATTATGTTTGACTCAACTGGAAAATACCTGTTGACAGCTGGCGGAAAACAGATCAGAGTCTTCCATAATGTGACAGGGTATAGATGCGCCATTGAAATGGCCAAGCTGAAACTCAAGGACCACCAGACCTCTGCTACCAAAGAAAGACTGGAAAAGCTGATTGTAGAGAGTCAAGAGTTCCTCAATACCATTGAGAAGAAATGAAAGTTTAAATAAAATTAAAAATATGTTTCAATACATTGAATAAATTTTTACTTGATTGCTAACTTGCGTGATTTCTTTTACACAAAATCTTAAGACATCCTACTTTGACAGAAAGCTATGCCTCAGCAGGGTTATTACGTAAAAAACCAATGCATCGTCAAAAAAAGCATCCCTGTATGAAGGAATAAATCAACGACACATCATGGTTGCAAAATGCTGAGATAATCTGTAGAATATATAGAATAATAGAAGATGTGTGATTGAGTAGTAGAAAAGCAAGATCACATCTGGATGATTGTGTGTGTCGGTCTGCTTGTGTATAAAATCAATCTTTGTGAGAAAATTATTACTGGATATGCTGCACATGAAAAGTGACATTATGCCGATTTTTTTGACATTATGTAGGTTTTTCACCAAGATGTTGACATTGCACGTGTTGCCTAAACGTCATGAGGCTTGTTATCAACCTTTGGCTCTGATATTGTAAAATCTGCTTATAGGTTTTTTGCCGTTTTGTAGGTTTTTTACATGATAGCCGTATCGTGCCGCACGGGTATTGCATATTCACGTATTTTGAACCCGTTTTGTAGATGTACGTGTTGCTTAAACATCAGCGAACAACGATCATAATAAGAAAACGTGGAATGAACTATACCATACTAAAAACTACCTATGCCCTATCTCAGGAGTATCCATCACCGTAGAATGACAGCTGATTATCTAGTAATATCTCAAAATTCCCCATATCGGCACAGGACATATAATTCTGACGGATCCATCAACGCCAGGTAGACAGAGCTGAATTTTGTTTTGTTTCTTTTTAAGCTACAGATTCATTTTTTACTTACTAACAGCTCTTTTATTTAGTTCATTTGCACAGAAAAAATAAAACGCTATAAACAGGTTTCACTAGATTTACACCCGATTCATTATTCCAAACGTTGCAGACTAACACAAAAATGTCACTTGCTGATCAGCTGTTCAACTCAGTAGTCGTCAAAGCGTGATGGATACTCGCGAAATAGGGTATACGAGTAGTCTGCAAGATGTCATTTCGTCGTTTTTTAGGTTTTTTACATAATAGCTGTGTGGGTCGGATGATTGTCATCTGCTATATATATGCTATAGCACGTCTTTCAATATACAGGATGTCATAACAGTTACAAAAGTAAAAATACAGCTTTATATTTTTCCGGGTAAAGTATTTGTTTTTCAAATGGAAAGCCCTCTTTTTAACATATTCAATCAGAACGGAAATTGTAATATAATATCAATGTCACTCCTAAAGATGAAAAGAAAGGCTAGGGAAAATTTTTAGAAGTTTAGCAAGATTATTGACGAAAACACCTCGAACGGGAGAAGTTGATCTCGACAGGTGGACTGACGTATATCCTTTTCTGTCAACATAGCGGATTATTCTCAAAAACCAACGATGTTACAAACGAAAAGTCCATGGTGCAACTAAATCAATTGGGAACTACCTCAGAAAAAGATTTTCGATACGCCACTGGATATTATTAGTTAGACTAGTCATCTATAGAGGGCGCAGAAGTAACAGGAATTAATACAGATTTCTATCTTATCATTTTGCACAAAAAGGAGCTTTATACATCTGTTCATAGAGAGTAGTGTAAATCATGAAAACGGATTTTTGCAAGTTTTGCATAAATTTTATTTCAAATCTCTAAATTGAGAAGGTGGGAATGTTTACTCATCCTTGTACTTGATTCTTGAAAAAGTATAGACCTTAGGATGAAAGGGGTAGTTTTAAAATATGGGAATTCGATGTGTTTTGAACTCATGGCTTGCAGCAATTTAAATTTGACAGATATTTGTCGTTACTCGTTATGTCAGACACAAAAAATTCAAAGGCATAACAAACAAAAATGTTTTTTCCTTAATTTTATCGTTACAAAGTCAATAATTCGCACAAAATGAGTGAATTTAGATTGCACGAAATAATTTCAGAACTATCTACTACACTAGGGTGAATATTCCGTTATTTTTTACACCTGAATTTGTACTACAAATGTTTATTTTTAGTGGAAAAATATCCCCTGATAAATTGTTCGAATACCTACAAGGCGTAAAATCTGGAAATTCATCAGGATGTACAGAGGAAGTCCAGGAACACTTGATAAGTCTTGCGCAAGACTCGCCAAATGCAGAAGCATTCATGGCAAAATACAATTATTTCAAAGACAAAAAGTAAGAATAAGAACCAAGAACTGTTTGTTCATACATTGTGAGGCCTCTCGTGCACTTTTATCGAAACATGTTTTTATGTAATATACAGACCTTTGCCTGTCTCTTTAGGCTGAGGTGGTATGTAGGACTTTTGCCTTTGTATCAGTCTGTTGGTTAGTATGTAGCTATAAAGGTATCTGCTCATTATTAGTTTCATTAACTGCTTACTCAGCAGTACAAAAGGCACATGATTACCTTAAGTCTTTTTCTGAGCCATTTTATTATTAGTGCAAGATGTTAACATCCTTCTTTACTATGATTTTATATAAAATCCTTGATACACCTAAAATATCCAAGAAAATATGAATGTTTATCATCGTTTATAACCTAGTTTGCCACCAGCACTGCTTCAAAATACCACTAATGCATGCTTCTTATTCCTTTCTAGTGTTGATTCACTAGACACCTTTGTTAAGCTGCTATCTAAAATATCTGAAGATCATAATTTGAAAGAACTTCTTAAAAAAACTGCAAAGCCACAAGGTGCATCCTCCTCTGACTTCACCAGGGATACACTTTATCAGGTATTAAACACAGATATTGCATAAAACTCTCTTCTGTCATCTTACTTCAAGATGATCAGATAACTCAATTAAGTAAAACATTCAAACACTTCATAAGATTAAGACACTACAAGGGATGTCTTTTAAGTTTTGCATGTAGAAATATAAATCAAATCCAAGCGAATAACCAAAATTTCTGTGTTATGTGCCGCGGTTATAATATGGTTCAAGATGACACACGGGTTGATGACGTCCGTTACACGAATCGCTTGAACGCGTTGGTTTTAACCGCGGTTTTGTTGCAAGTTGTTTATTTTAGAAAAGCGCGTATATAATCCCTGATTATTTTTATTATCACTTAATAATCGGTGCTTTTTCGTCTACAACTGTATATGGAAAGTTTAAATAAGAAACCTTTCATAATATTCATGGGAGAAATGTTTTTTTCAGATTTTTTTTTTGAATGATGGAACCATGGCTTTGTAGCTATGATAACTTTCAATTCTCTAAATTTTTCCGCATGTCAAAGAAAACACTTATTGATTCAGCAGAAATGATGAAAAAAGAAATTGGCAAAACCGTATACAGTTGGATATCATCTAGTGAGTTTATACAGGGTGACTTCGAAGTTGAGTCATTTATTTTAACAGTGAGTAGATCTGATCAAAAGAAATGTTTTTTCCTTTACCATTTTTCTGGTAAAATTAAAGTAACAAAGTTATAGCCCTTTGGAAGTTTGAGTACCGCCCTGTCTCAATAATAATATTATGTGCTCGTGTTTGGCGACAACGAATATAATCCGCCGTATCGGTTCATCGCCACGGAAACAAAAAAGCGAAAGAATTTGGAACGATGTTTTTACAATTATTTCATTCATTTGTATACAGTCAGTGTCAGTGAATAGTGGTATCTGTTGCGTGGCTCAAACGAAATAAAAAATGGCACATGTTTATGCGGATCGGTTTTCCAATCGAGTGCAACCAACCCCTCGTGCCTTTGTTAATGTAGTACAACGGGCTCGTGAATCAGGTGACTTAAGACCTCACAGGGGACCTCACGATCAAATACAGGTCCGCACTGAAATACTTGTCGGGAGGATACTTTATAAAACAAGGTAAACATTTTTTTTTAATTTTTTTTTTTATTTTTACACACATATTTTGGTTTATCTTCCTTCTACAATCATTATCTGAAAATTAATGACTCAACTTCAAAGTCACCCTGTATAGCCATATTTTAATATTCTTGTGGTATATGGCTACACAGGATACTATGTTAAGCCTAGGAACTACATTTAAAGTGTCCCCAACAACCGTAATGAGTATAACTAATAAGGTGCTCCACTTTATGGTAAAACTGAAGTCAGCCTGTATCAATTTTCTCAAAAATGAAGCTGAAGTACAATAACAATATCCAATACCCGGCAAAATTCTAACTTGTCACATTTCAAATAATAACCAGAAATATAAAACTACTCTTGAGTTGGGTAAATACCACAATTTTGCGGTGATAACTATGACATATAACAGCTGATTCGTGACGTCACGGATCTTATAACCAAACTGATAACTACACTCGCTTGAATGGATCGGTAAATACCAACCCAAAATGGTAAATACCATTTCCATTTGGTTATCCGCTTGAATTTGATTATAGTAGGCCATGCAGATTGAACGTCAGTACTGAATCTTAACCTCACTCTTTAGTAAACTTAAGTTCAAAGTTTCACAACAATATGTGCAGTATTCTCACTACAGTGAATTTTTAAGTGTCACCAAGTCATTAAAAAAATGGAACTCAACCGAGAACATTTTCTCGCCATAATTTATTACAACTTTCAGAGACAAATTGTCGCTACAGGAATGCCTTACTGAGTTACTGTCTGTTTTCGGCAACGAAGCGCCACATCAGTCGACAATTTCCCGTTGGTATGGAGAATTCAAACGTGGACGAGTGAGTCTTAGCGACGATTCTAGGGTGGGTGCACCAAAGACGGCAGTCACCCAGGAAAACGTCGATGCTGTGCGCAAACTCATCATTGAAGATACACATGTGACATATCGCGAGATTGAGGCGTCCTTGCAGATCTCAAAGACCTCAATTCAAAAAATTTTACATGAACAATTACTAGGAAGAAAATTAGTTTCTCATTGGATACCCCTCCGGTTGACTGAAGAGCAGAAAGCAGCCAGGGTTAATTGGTGTCAAAAAATGCTTGACCGTTTCAATTCCGGAAACTCAAAAAATGTGTACAGCATTGTTAGTGGTGATGAATCGTGGATTTACTGTTATGAACCAGAAGATAAACGACAGTCGGCTGTTTGGGTGTTCCAAGGTGAAGAAAAGCCAACAAAAGTCATCCGTTCTCGAAGTTTTCGAAAAAGATGGTCGCGACATTTGTGTCAAAAGCGGGTCATATTGCAACAATTCCTCTTAATGAGCAAAGAACTGTTACTGCGGATTGGTATACCACCCTTTGTTTGCCAAAAGTCATCACCGAGCTTCGAAAAATCACCCCCGAAAGAAGAATCATCCTCCACCAAGACAAAGCAAGCTTGCACACAGCCCAAATACAAGGCAGTATTTAATGGAAGAAAACGTGGAATTATTGGACCATCCTCCACATAGTCCCGATCTAAGTCCTAACGATTTCTTTACTTTCCCGAAAATTAAAAACAGACTGCGTGGTCAAAGGTTCCAGTCACCAGAAAAAGCAGATGACACATTCAAAAATGCCGTTTTGGATATGCCAGCAAACGAGTGGTAGAAGTGCTTTGAAAATTGGTGGAGAATAATTCGAAAAACAATTAAGTCATTTAAAACTACATACTGTGTTGTTTTATTTCCATATGCAAAACTTAAAAGACATCCCTCGTACAAGACATCTGGACGAGTGAAAAATGTTCACCTATGGTAGCAATTGCTAACCCCACTTCAAACTTGCTGGCTTAGAAATCTAAGTACTGCATAATTATTTCCAATATGATTCATATTTAAGTACTGAATATTACTAATTACTGCATAAGCTACTGATGTTATATCAGTTCAATTTTCTTAATGCATTTTCCAGGTGAAAAGTCGGATTAATAAGGAGATAAAGAAATCTCCAAAGCTCGACTCCAGCATGGTTCTGAATTCATCCACAACTGTACCACTTGCTACAACCCCTTCTGTTATGTCATGGGTACAACGGCGCCCAGTTATGTCATGGGATTTCTCTACCCATTCAATCAGCAGGTCAATTCCAACTGTGCCAGCAGTATCTCAAGAAAGCATACTGATTGAAGATTTACTCAATGTTCTTATAGGTAAAATGGGCATCAACCAGTCAATAAAAAGGAAATCCATTTGTTATGCCATATGAACACATCACAGAACTGAAAGAATGCAGTATAACTCCTAAAATTTATCCTATGGTTTTCATGCCAAAAGAGCTCAATGAGTTTCTGGGCCACATACAGGATGAGTGTAGGCTCAGTCAACAACTCTGTTATTATGCATTGTATTGTAAAAAATAAAATACGAAAATTGTAGCCAACAGTATCCTCTCACCTTAGAAAACCTCCTTATTTCAACAGGGTGATTAATAACTATGTGGTAACTCATACGTTTTTTAAATGGAAAGCCCTACATTTCATTGCAGATTTTCAAAAAAGGCAATAATTTGATATAACATACTATAGGATTTTATTATCAAATTGTTGAGATTTTAGATAATCTGTTGAAAAAACTCGACTTGGACACTTGCACCTCTGTAATTCTTATGGCTAGACAACATAATTTTTTGTTAAAACAATTACGATCCTATATCTTGTCCTATCTACTTACTTTTTCTGTTTTTTTTTGGACAGTTTATAGAGGGCAGTCAAGAAGCTAAAACAGATTGTCAAATATCTCAACAACTTGGCAACAAAAGTCTATAGTATGTTATATCAAATTGCTTGGTTTGAAATGGTGTATCCAAATCTGCAAAAAAATGTAATGCTTTCCGTTTAAAAAAAATGCATGTTTGGGTCAGCGCATGGTTATGAATCATCCTGTATAGTTAAAAATATTGTCCAAGTAAGAAGCATACTGTTGGATACAATATTTGTGATCAACTTTTTTTGATATGTGCAATAATGGATTTATCGACAAAGCCCCATTAAAAACTCACACTGTATATATGAATTTATTTTTACTGGCGTTCCTGCCACCATCGTGGCCTTTTTAAAGTACATTGTATGTATTTTGACAAAGGCCACTGAGGTTGCTGAAACGTCAGAAAAAAGTAATTTATGAATATGTGATTTCTGGCTAAATGGCCAAAAACCGAGAGAAAGTAGTCATGTCATTAACATGACCACCAGAAGAACCCAATTCAGTTACAACTATATTTGTGTCAATCATCATCCTGTGGTGTCAATGTTGCCACGTCTTGGACTATTGCTACAGGTTATGGGATTTATTTTTTTATTGTTGAGAAATTCTGCAAATATAAAACCTTAGGAATAATCACGAAGGAGGTAGAGGGTGATCGTTTCTTCGAAGGTGGATGTCATGTTCAAGTCTAAACATTTTTCTTTAAAAGAAATAGGAATATTTTAATTACTTCCAAAAGGAATTGCTGTGATCCTACATGGCAGCATCACTGTATTGATAGAAATTGTATGTCAACATCCAAATACAGCATAGAGCTGGGTATCTTTTTGGAGTTTATGTTAATTGGTGTTATACTATTTCTTAACGCATTCTGGCCATTCGTATACTGTATTCTGACACCTAAAATGTATCTGAACGCTTCTAGCGCCATCTATAGATGGCTGTCTTATAAGACAGTAGCAGGACAAAAATGAATTGAGAAATCTACTTTGAAAAGAGTAAAGAGTGCTTGGTTCTACTACTGTCTCATAGATGGAGCTAGGGTTTTCAATTCCTCTAATATCTATTTTAATTGGATTTCTTCAGGCATTGATTAACCTATTCCACCTGAAATGCCTCCAGATATCTGATTAAAATAGATATTAGAGAAGCGCCAACAGATATTTGCTCCATGTAAGCGACAGTACGAAAACCAAACACTCTAGATCTTGTTCTTTTCAAAGTAAATTTCTAAATTCATATTTGTATTCTGCTGCTGTCTTACAGATGGCGCTATAATCTTTCGGTTCTTTTTGAGCCCCTTTATCAGTATATGGTTGGCAATCTTCATGTAGAATTCATTCAATCAAATCAAATACGGCCAATGGTTATGCTAAACTTTATCTCTATGTTATAGGTTTGCCAGGCACTTACATAGAACCAGAAGAGCTGAAGGATGTCTATGGTCCAAGAACTTTCAAAATAAATGATAATGTGCCGGTTTCCCTAAGGGAGCTTGTAAAACAGATCTTGCCATTAGCTAGTCATTATTCTATCATACAGAGGTTCACTGAAGAGAAAATGAGATTTGAGTTTGGTCAAGTGAACAATGCCTTAGCTGAAGAAATGCAACTCATAAATAAGGAGCATATAGTATGTTTTTTGAATTATAATTTTATGTTAGTGTAGATGGAAATTGTTTCTTCTGTAATAATTCTTTTTAAGGTATTATAAAAATCAATATGCGAGTTTCCAAAATGTTAGTTTAGTCGAAGGGTGACTGGCTATAAATTAACCCCCTCTAACTTTACTATATCACCTTCCAGTAGATGAAGTTGCATATATTATAAGGGTAATAGGGTCTAATATGAACTTTTTCATGTAATATTTTTTGTCTCAGAAAAGCGCTATCGCATAAAGTTTAATTTTTTTAAATGGAACGCCCTATATATTTTCTGGGAAAATCAACGAATTCGAATAGATTATATGTTAGCATTTTTCTTATCCCTCCTGGGAGCCGTCCAACCAAACTGATGGCAGTGCAGCCTCTAGGGTTTATTGTGCCTATATGTTTACATACCATTGTGTGTCGCCAAATTTACGTAGTTTCAGTGCATACTTTTGACTCATTTATCTACCAATGCTTACTAAAGTGACAGCATTGTGTTGTATCAACACAGTAATACTTACCAGGAAAGATGTACTCTTGGACAAAAGTATGGAAAGATTTGTTTTCTGGTTATACTCTCAATATTTGTTAATCAATAATTAATTGCATACTAAAAACAGCCACTACTAACTTAGTAACATTTTAGAAATAAATGAAAATACAACATAAACCAATTCTCATATAGGATAAATAAAGAAAACCGTTGGAGAAAAGTATGGAAAGAAAATTTTTATTAAGAAAAAAAGTTAAACATACAAATTAAACAAGCAACGGTTAGAATTTTGTTGAAAATCCTTTCGCCTTAATGACTTCCCTACATCTTCTTAAAATGGAATCAACAAAAATCTTCCGCCATTCATCTTCCCATAGATCATTCTCACTATGAATAATTCTTTGCCGAATGTTCTGCTCTAAGTACTCCCAAAGGTGCTCAAATGGATTGAGGTCGGGGGATTGCGAAGGCCATTCCAGTAAATCAACGCTTTTCTCTAAAAACCAAATTTTTACTGAATTTGATTAATGTTTCGGGTCGTTATCTTGTTGATATCCCCACAACAGCGGCATTTTTTCTTCGGCATAAGGTAACATAGTATTCTGAAATATCTCGCGGTACATAAAGCGATCCATTTTCCCAGTTATTTTCAGTATCGGGCCCATTCCAGACCTGGAAACACACCCCTAGATCATAACACTGCCACCACCATGCTTTACTGAAAGCTTTTGATACTTGATATCAATTTTTCCCCGTCAGATATTCTTACAAACGATCTTCCATCAGCACCAAATATTTTATTTAAATTTGCTTTCGTCACTCCAAAGCACCGTGCCCCAGTTTTTAGGTGTCCAATTTAAATGTCTCAAAGTCTGGCCTTTGGTTTCTTTTTAGACAGTAACGATCTTTTGACAGCAACTCTTCCAAACAACTTCACATAGACGTCTTCTCACAGTTCGGGCCATTATGTCGGTGTTGAAATATTGACAAATTTCTACAATAATTTGGACGGATGTCCTGATCAACATAGGAGGCAGTTTTTCTAGGACGACCTGATTTTGGCCGATTAGTAACGTTTCCTATTAACCGAAACTTTTTTAGAATCTTTGAAACGACGCCTCTGCTTAAGTCTAAATTTCTTGCTATAGTACATTGCTTTACACCCTGTCTTTTCAACTCGACAACTTGAGACGCAACTCTTCCGGCAAATACTTATTCTTGCCCATTCTTAATAGGGTGCTGGTTATAGCGATGATACCACAAAACTAATCCAATGATGTTAAATGTGTAACAATGCTGATATGAAAAAATTTTCCGTACATTTGTCCAATACATAAACAAAAAAAAAACGCGATTAAGGTAGGAATCTCTATTGCACAAAAAGTAAACATGTGAAAATATGTGATACCTAAGCATTCATATAAAATGAACCGCACAATTTATTGTACACGAGGCGAGCTGGAAAAATTGTTGTTGAAGATTTATTTAGCATTAATGCTACAATGTCAATTTTGTATAATATTCGGTTACATATTTTTCCTCAATCCATTTTCTGTAATTTTACATTCTTGTCTATTAAAATTAAAATTACGTCACTATGTATTTTGATTATTCATAGTGATTTTTTAATTTCACCTTAAACATTTTTAAATTCGAACTCTGTTTAATATCATTATTCAATTTATTAAATTCAAATACTCCCTTTTGAAATATAGATTTACTAGTTATGCTACTATTACAACTTTGCAGATGAAAATCTATACTGCCTCTAGTTTCGTAGTTATGATAATGCCTATTTAATTTTGTGAAGTTCTCTAAATGTGGTGGTAATAAATGATTTTTTAATTTGAATATGAAAACGAGAACTAAATAATATATGAAATTTTTCAAATCCAACCACTGCAGTTCTTCTAACATAGACTTAATCCTAGCATATTTGTTTTTATTTAAAATGATTCTCATAGCTTTATTTTGTAGAATTTGTAATTTTGAAAATATGTTTTCATTTGCTGTAAGCAAGATGGTTGAACAATATAAAAAATGGGGAAGAATTATAGTGTTTTACACAATTTTTTTGGAATACATACTAAGATTATGGGAAACTCTATAGAAGTAATTTATCTTTTTCGATATTTTTGGAATAATGTATTCATAATGTTCGTGAAACAGTATCTTACTCTCCACATATATACCAAGATATTTGAATGACTCGACTACTTCAATGTTTTTATCATTAATCAAGAGCCTAATTGTATTGTCACCTAAATGTTTCCGTATTACATTTTGTTCTATTAGTGTTTAATTTAAGTTTATTGATATTTAACCAATTCATAATTTTTTCTATATCGCTATTTAACAGTTCTAAAGCAGTGTCCAAATGCTTATGTGCTATATATATATATATATATATATAAGTGTAAGTAATGAAAATAAGTTTAACAAACCATATTTGAAATCAGAAAAATCACTGAAAATATACAGGGTGTTTCATATAAAAAATACAACGTTGTTCGATAGCAATTTTTCGAGACACCCGGTATACAAAAATATTGCATGAACAACTTCATATTAGACCCTATTATATACAAATTTTTCTTCTAAAAAGTCATATAAAAAAGTTAGAGGGGCTCAATTTATAGCTGGACTCATTACTGTACATTCCCTCAGCTAACAGAGCAGCAACCACACAGCAGTACCCCTTCGTGACCGGCAGCGGCTCGCCAAAATTTTTCGTTTCTTACAATATTTTTTCTATAATATGTCATGATTGTAGCATATGTGAACGCCTGCAGCCCGCTGGCAGATCATTATTTGCAAGGAGTATGAAAAATTAATTAAACCCGCCCAAAAAGTTATACTGAAATCGCACGCCTACAGTATGTGACATAATTGATACGACCCTAATGTGTTACAGTATAATAGTCAAATACCTTATTGACAAACCTTTTTTTTTCAGCTCTTTACAATACAACTAGAGAGCAAATTCAAGACTGAGGGTCTCACACTGTTAAAAGTAATATTCTTCCTCCAAAGGAATATGCAGAACTTGGGTATTGCTGCTTCTATCGCCTCCTCCATAAGCAAGGTAATTATAATATTTCACGCAGTTATTAATAAAATTAGGATGTTATTAATATTTCGCTTTATCGACAGTCCGAAGCAAAAGGAGGCAAAGTGTTGAGCTTGTTACATGACAGTATTATTGGCTCAATAGGAGATGAGAGAGCCCAACAGTTGTGCTTGAAACTTATGGAGGCTGCGTGTATTCCATATATGAAAATGCTCGAGATGTGGATCTATAAAGGAATCATTTCTGATCCCATTGGCGAGGTAAAAACAGTTTCTAACAAATGCACATTATTTATCAACTTATTATAAAATTTCTAATAGTCTAATCATATGGTCAAATTTTTCCGAAATAATTGTAGAGTCTGGTTTTATTGGTGCAAGTTGTTCAAGGGGATATTTAAAACATGGACGCATAAAATGGGTACACCAACTTTTGTGGGAAAACTTTTTATTTGACGTCAAAGAATGAGAAAACGTGTTATTTTGCGACTCAATCGAAAGTGTTGACAGAAACAATAAACTTTACTTATAAGATGTTAAAGTATTTATAAGACCTACAAATGAGACCACACGTAAAAAGATTCGACTAATAGCAAAAATATCATGGCCGAAAAACAAGGAAAAATGTAGGTTTTGGTACTTGTTGGTAATGCGACGATAATTTCACGCATCTACTTGAAAATCCTTATGATTCACACTTCTAAATAACAACAACAAAATTGGAGTATATTCGTCAATTAGTTTTTTGAGAATTTCTAAATGTTTATCTCAAAACAATATACAGGGTTAGTTCAAAGGACATTTGATAGCAAAATACACGTTTTTACCTTGCCGGTATGAATCACAAACCATTCCAAAAGATACGATATTTTATGCGAAAAACGAAGGTTACGTTTTTTTCTTCTAAACAAATCCAAACATTTCGTATTTGTGAGTAATTGAACAAAATGCGCTACGATATTCGAAAAACATACGTTACTCTACAGATTTGAAAACAAATCCAGCTGTGTCTATTGTCTTTTGTTGCGAATTACTTACAAATACGAAATGTTTGAATTTGTTTAGAAGAAAAAACGTAACCCATCCTTTTTTGCATAAAAATCACATTTATCTTCCGGAATGGTTTGTGATTCATATCGGCAAAGTAAACTAGTGTATTTTACTATACAATTCCCTAGTAGTGCTGGCCGGAAAACAGGTGTTTTGGGATAAACAATTAGAAATTCTCAAAAACTTCTTGACCAATATACTCCAATATTGTTGTGGTTATTTCGAAGTACGAATCCTATGAATTTGAAGAATTTCGAATATCTTCGAGAAACCATCGTCGCATTACCAACAACAAACCTGCATTTTTGCCTCGGTTTTCGGCCATAACTCTTTTGCTATTAGTCCTATCTTCTTACGTGTAGTCTCATTTTGTAAGTCTCATAAGTATCTAAAAATCTTGTATGAAGAGTTTTTTCGTTCCTGCCAATACTTTTGATTGAATCCCAAAAAACACGTTTTCTCATACTTTGTTGTCGAACAGAAAGTTTTCCCACAAAAATTGGTGTACCCATTTTATGCGTCCATGTTTTGAATACCCCCTTTAACAACTTGCAGCGATTAAACCGGTCTTTACAATTACTTCGCAAACCCATCAACGAACTAAAGTATCTGAATATCTTTGTGTGCTGAAGAATAGACGGAAGTGCTAAGATAGTTGCTTTCACATAGCTGTATTTTTGTAGTTTCTTGTGGAAGACAATGAGGTTGTAGAAAGGGAAGATATGCCAGAAGACTATTCAGCTGACTATTGGGAGAAAAAATATGCCATACGTAGGGAGAGGATACCTAAATTTTTAGAACCCGTTACAGATATCATACTCAAAGCTGGAAAATATTTGAATGTGATAAGACAATGTGGTATGTTTTATTTCTAGTTGAAATAAAGAAAGACTTAAAAGGCTCAAACTAAAGGACAATCCAAGTTTCGAACATACTTGTGAATGCCAATAAACAAATCAAACACCGTATTAATAAGTTATTTTTTATTTTGCACAGTAACATTGATTAACGTATTCCACCCAACCTAATACTATATTCGCGCGTCCGAAATAATATCCAAGATTTTCAGATAAAAGGTTGGCTCTTCTGGTAGAATACGTTAATCAATAATTGATATATTTTGGCATGTTGTAGAACACCATCCTACAATTTCGATTTATTCCAACAGGTAAGCCAGTAAAGAATAAAGTGATCCCAATCCAATACAAAATCGAGGAAAAACATTATATCGAAGCGATAAACAAAGCGTACACGTTCGCAAGCCAAACCTTACTGGACTTAGTCTTGAAAGAAAAAGATCTCATCGGCCGTTTGCGATCAGTCAAACACTATTTCCTTCTGGATCAAGGTGACTTCATAGTGACCTTCCTCACACTTTGCGAAAAAGAATTGTCGAAATACGTGGCCGATGTCAACCAAGCTTGCATCGAATCGCTTATGGATTTGGCTTTGAGAATATCCAGCGCTGTCAATGACCCTTACAAAGATGACCTCAGGGCAGAATTGCTTCCCGATGACCTGCAGTTCCGAATGTTGAGGATACTCAGCATCAGTCAAAGAGGTACGTATGCAGAAAGACAATTTCATTTCCACGAGACCAAGGTTTTGCATGGTACGATAAAAATATATTTGCGGTAAAATTGCTTTGGAAAATGAAATATTTCAATCGACTTTGAAGTATCATAGTCCGGGTTTTTTTACATCGAAGTAGCCGCGCAGGCGGAAGCCTAAATGTCAGGACACCACGGCTGATACGAGGATCCCAAAGACATTTTCTTAATCCGATTTTTGAACTGCCTAAGGTAGGTAGAACCGGGAAAAGCCTCCTTTTATAGATTGTTCGAAAATCTCGACACCCTAGGGACAGAGGAGCGGTCGTATGGACCAGCTCTGGTACGAAGTTCGACGCGGTTAGAATGGGAGGCCGAAAACAGGCGGGTCTGTCTGACGCGACGGCATCTTGGAGGAGAGCTTTGAGGAGGGAAGCCCGTTGGTGTAGCGGTAGAAGAGAGTTAAATCGCCGTCAATGCGAAATGGTCCCGAGACTGTCTGTTTGAGATGAGTGATCGATCAGTCGGACCGCCCTCCTCTGGACAACGTCGAGCCTGGATAATATAGTCGGGGCAGCAGCACCCCAAACGTGTAACTAGGCCGTATATAGAGTAAGGAGAAGTACTCTTTAGTCCTAAACAAATAGTGTAGCTTTTTCCCAACAGCTGCCGCTATTGACGAGATGTGTACGTGTCAAATCAAGTCCTCGGTGTTCTGGACCGACCAGCCAAAATGAGCGGCTCTTTGGCAGAACTCGGCCATCTATCGAAACCGGATAAGCGCTAGGACGCTTTTTGTTCGTCAGTGTACAGTAATGTATTTTGGAAGCATTAAACTGTACAAGATATTTGCGTCCCAAGCAGTGATAACCTCCAGGTCTCTCGTCAGAGAAGTCGCTGCTAGTCTTCCTTTTTTTCCAGCTCACCGGCAGGATCGGTTTGTCACTCTAAATTCCTGCATGTAGAGTGCTGTCATCAGCACAGCTGTGGATTGGATTGATCGTACAGGAAATGAGGTCGTTGATATGTAAGACCGATCTCTGGGGAACACCCGCGTGGGATGAGGAGGAGAACGCGAGAATTACGACGGATATCTTGCGGCCAGAGAGAAAGTCAGCCACCCATCTGCAAAGCTTCTCTGGGATGTCATAGGATGGAAGTTTGCATAAGAGCACAGCGTGCCAGAACGGTTTCGTGATATTAAGAGCGAGATGAGCCTCTCCATGAGACTGGATCAGTTTACTCCACAGTTGTGTGACGTAAGGCCTGTCGCTTGTCAAGTCGTGACGTTCGAGGTAGTCCAGAATCTCGGCATTTATGTACCTCTCCATCACCTTACTTATAACAGAAAGCAGAGCTATATGCCTGTAGTTGTAAGGGTCGGTCTTAGATCCCTTTTTTGCAGTGGGTTGGACATGAGGAAATTTCTAGTTTTCTGGGAAGGTGCGGGATTCGTAAGATATCTAGAAGGGACGCGAAAGAACGAGCAAGCGTCGCTGCACACCTCTTCAATACTATGGCAGGAATCATGTCCGGACCAGAATCTTTTTCAATGTAAATATATGGTATATAACGAAACAGCTGTGAAAAATTCTCACAGTATTTCATTATATCACGGATCATTTTTTGGATGCGGGAATATAGGATTAAGTTGACAGGTAGAATACGTTAATCAATGGCGGAAGTATGAATTGCTTGAAAACACTTACTTGCTTCTTCATTATTGATCACTTGTTTCCAACACCCGTCTTAAAATCAAACAACAAAAATGACAGCATAGTCACAAACGATGACAAGAATCACAAAAATAAAATTCCAGTGCCGCAAGCCAGAATAAGTCGCATGCTAGATTCATGAACACTCCTCTGGCTATATTGCCACCCTCGTTTGACATTTCCGACCTATTTTCATGTATTGCTACCAAATTGCTGAGCTATCGGAATAGTATTTAACGCAACGTTTGTAAGAAATTTAAGCTGCCGCGCGAACATTTTCGTTTTTCCTTATTCGCGCCTAATTTTGTAGCTCTTCTGATGAACCCTGAAACGTGTATATGTCTACACATTGCTTACAATATTGACAAAGTTATATCCAAATATTGCAATAAAAATATTGGTCTTCAGAGGCTCCATTATCTGTTAAGTGGCTATATCATTTTGCAGACTGTTTGACATAACATAATTATGTTATATAGTAATAGTAATAAATTGCTTTTATTGCTCATGTAAGTACAGAAAAAAGACATCATAATTCTGATGCAGTGAGCAAGCGGCAAGGTTCGCTTGATTGACAAAATTAGTTGCCAATCCGCGCTCTTGCACTTGACCAGAAAAAGAAAAGTAGTATATCAGTAATAACAACAATACTTGATAAAATTATAATAGTGAGAGAAAAGTTAACACAGATACATATAGACATATGTTGTTTTAGAACTACATATTTTATCATACATACATGACATATCGTCGTCCATAACACGAAGTGGCGTATCTCATTTTTCCAATTTTACAGAAGAGCGTTTTGAATATTTTCACGAGATTTGAGTTGTTGCTGTCAAAAAGGTATTATTGCTTCATAATCGAATTTGTGGGTATATCTGCTCATGTTTACAAGCTTTTCAAAAATGAGCAACGATTAACCCATTTCTCATCTTATGTGTTCAAAATTTCCAAAAAAAGTAGATACGTCATTTTGTGAAATTGAAAGGTCGTAATTCCTGGAATAAAGACTTCGTTACGTCCGTGTTATATTAAAGTGATGAAAAATAAAAATACATGAAATTAAGAAAAAAATGATTTAAAAAAGGGGAACAGTGAATACTATGGCGAAATAAGTATCTGCAGTATCTAAAACTATTTAATTTATACAGGGTGTCCGCAAAGTTGGGGTTTCCTTTTCAGAAACAACTACCCTTGAAGTAACAAAGGTAATGTGTAGTGAAACGAGGGCGACCAAGTAAAAAAAATAAAGGAAAAAGTACTCACTCTCCAGTTGACGAGAAGGGCTAAGTACGTCTCTGCCCGAAATCATACCGCTCCAATAGAAAATGAAATCAGCTGATGCGCTACCGAGCAGACGCCAGCGGTGGTGCAGACCACGAACAGAGGTAACAAATAAGATGGCGTTGCCGCGTTTTCAGTTTTTAGGTAAACGTACTTTATGGGTATTGTTCGAAGTTATCGCCGTTTGATTCAAAAACACAGGTGTGTGCACGACGTAGCCAAGCATCGGTGCAGGCTTTGAGAATGGAGTCCCTCCCCCGAATGAAAGCACCAGCTTGTTCAATTCTGAGACGAAGTTCGTCAACCGTATGCACTTCAGTTTTGTATACTAAGCGTTTCATTTCTCCCCAAAGAAAAAAAACACATGGTGGAGATGGCGGAGGCCACGCTACGGGTCCATTATGTCCGATCCACCCATTCGGAAATAATTCATTCAAAAACTCACGCACTTCGCATCTTAAATGGGGCGGTGCACCATCGTGCAGAAATCACATTGATTGTCTTACACTTAATGGCACATCATCTAACAAGGAAGGCAAAATGTTACGTAAAAAGTCTAGGTATTGCATCCCGTCCAATCGATTGGGGAGAATAAATGGTCCAATGAGCATACCGTTCACCATGCCAGCCCAAACATTCACCGAAAATGTTTGTTGAAAATGTGCCCGATGGACAGCGTGCGGATTTTCTACTGACCAAACATGAGTGTTGCGAAAGTTATTCACCCCATTACGTGTGAACGTAGATTCGTCTGTCACCAATATGCACTTCAAAAAGTCCGGATTATTGTCATGTTGATGCAACAACCACTCACAAAACCGCACTCTTGCTGGAAAATCGTCAGGTTGAAGGGCTTGTACACGTTGGACGTGAAACGGATACAGCCCCTCTTCACGCAGCGTTTGCCACACTAGTTTTTGGTACTTGCACTTCTCTAGCCACGTCTCTAGTACTTGTTGAGGGATTCTCGTCTACACGATTCAGTAGTTCTTCCTCAACTTGCACCATTCGTGGTTGTCTAGGCCTCCCACTGTGCCCACCTTGAAATTCCTCCAAATGGCCCGTATCCCTAACTCTCTGGACCAGGTACACAAATCTGCGGGGCCTTGGATGATGTCGTCTAGGGAACGATCTGCATACACTCGCGACGCCTCTGTAGCATTTTGAAGACATTCGCCATAAATTAACAACATATCAACGAGTTCATTATTGATGTATGAGTGTGCCATTATTATTTTTTTTCGAAACGCAATCGATTATACGGATTCGTTTACCTCTACACGCGTGACCGTAACCGTCGGTTGAAGGTTGCATACTGACCTGACACACTGACCCCGACCCAGTTCTGTAGTCGGGTTGAGCTAGTGTCCTAGTACCACTCGGGGATATCGCGGGTCGCGGCTACAGGACGGTATTCAGATATTTTTGATGTTGCAGAGCCATTTATCTCGGTTCCCTTAAGACATTGGTGTATATGGTACTAAGAAAAATTGCTTATGTTTTCAAGATCTACACGTCGTGTAAAGGAAAACCCCAACTTTGCGGATACCCTGTATATATAGCACATAAGCATTTGGGCACTGCTCTAGACCGGTTAAATAGTGATATTGAAAAAATTATGAATTGGTTTAATGTCGATAAACTTAAATTAAACACTAATAAAACAAAATGTATGTCGATAGGGAAACATTTAGGTGACAATACAATTAGGCTCATGATTAATGATGAAAAAATTGAAGTAGTCGAGTCATTTAAATATCTTGGTATATATGTGGATAGTAAGCTACTGTTTCACGTACATTATGAATACATTATTTCAAAAACATCAAAAAGAGAAATTACTTCTATAGAGTTTCCCATAATCTTAGTATGTATTTCAAAAAAATTGTGTATAACACTATAATTCTTCCCCATTTTTTATATTTTAAAACCATCTTGTTTACAGCAAATGAAAACACATTTTCAAAATTACAAATTCTACAAAATAAAGCTATGAGAATCATTTTAAATAAAAACAAATATACTAGGATTAAGTCTATGTTAGAAGAACTGCAGTGGTTGGATGTGAAAAATTTCATATATTATTTAGTTCTCGTTTTCATATTCAAATTTAAAAATCATTTATTACCACCACATTTAGAGAACTTCACAAAATTAAATAGTCATTATCATAACTACGAAACTAAGCAAAATTGTAACAGTAGCTACAACTAGTAAATCTACACCTATATTCCAAAGGGGAGTATTTGAATTTAATAAATTGAATAATGATATTAAACAAAGTTCGAATTTAAAAATGTTTAAGGTGAAATTAAAAAATCACTTTATGAATAATCAAAATACATAGTGCCGCAATTACAGAAAATGGATTGAAGAAAAATATGTAACCGAATCATTATACAAAATTGAGATTGTAGTATTAATGCTAAACAACTACAACAAAAACTTGTGCCCGATCTTTGGGATAATTTCTTAACAAATGAACGGCACGAAATTATTAATTTGGTTTGCAGACATTTTCTTTTATTTCCACAGATGTCCAACTTCCTGCCGAACCTAAAAAGCTCCTAATGATCGAATCGTTCTCGTTTGGCTATGATGTTCATTGGCCTCTATCATTGATTCTGAATGTGAAGTCATTAGCAAAGTACCAGATGATATTCAGACATTTGTTCTATTGCAAATATATAGAAAGACGAATATGTCAAGTGTGGAAATCGAACAAAGTCGCTAAGAAGTTTCATTTTCTGGATGCGCAACATTATAGGTAAGTTTTTATTTGCCAAATATACTGGGTGCGCCATCTATTACTTTTTTTTACCTAGAAGTTTATGTGTTACCATGTGAGTCAAAAGTCATGTGGTATGCGTAAATGAACTGTCAAAGGTATGCCATTTATAGTCATGGATTCGTTTACAACACAACAACGCATTTTGGTTATCCAAACTTATTACGAAAACGGTCGAAATATAAGAAATACTTTTCGCACTGGTTTTGGCCGACATGGACGCCCTACAGAGCCTGGAATTCGTTGGATTGTTAATCGTTTGGAGGAAACTGGTTCAGCTGAAGGTCGTAGACCATACCAACATGCTCGTCCAGCTCGTACTCGTGAAAACATAGCCGCAGTGAGTGCAATTGTGCGATAAGATCCAACCACCTCGATTAGGCACCGTTGACAACAATTGGGAATTAGTGAGACCACTTTACGCCGGATTTTACACATTGATTTACACCTCCATCCATACAAAATCCAACTAACAAGAATTGAAGCCGGTAGACCATCAGTAGCAGCGTGTTTTTGTTAATTGGATGCTGCAAAGAGAAGACGGATTTTCGGCCAAAGCCCTTCTGACGAGGCTCGTTTTCACCTCAATGGGTACGTAAATTAGCAAAATTGAAGATTCTGAGGGGCTGAAAATCCACACCGATATCATGAACAACCTCTCCATCCTGAACAAGTGACTGTTTGGTGCGGATTATGGGCTGGTGACATCGTTGGACCATTCTTCTTTGAAGATGCCGAAAAAAAGGCCATTACTGTCAACGGGGAACGTTATCGCGACATGTTAACAGACTTTTTGAGGCCTCAATTGGATGGTATTGGTGCCGACGATCTTTAGTTTCATCAAGACGGAGCAACGGCTCACACAACTCGCCGAACAATCGCCTTATTGCACACGAAATTTCAGGACCGCATAATTTCACGAAATTCAGATGTCAGTTGGCCCCCGAGATCGTGCGATTTAACACCTCTTGACTATTTTCTTTGGGGATTTTTGAAAGGAAAAGTGTATGCGAATGGTCCCCGGACAATTCAAGACCTAAAGCGCACTATTCGGACTGAAATTGCGGCCATAGACCCGACTATTCTGGGAAAAGTCATTGAAAATTTTGATGTTCGGATGTTGGCCTTTAAACGAAGCCCCGGTGGTCACATGACTGATGTTATTTCTCATACATAAATGGCATAAACCAACCTTCATTTATCAATAAAAAAATTCGATTTCACCTCGTAAAAAGCGAGTTGATTTTTCAAATAGAAAAAAAATTAATAGATGACGCACATTTTCAATAAGTTGAAAAAGTATGATATTACGGACAGGCTCTTGGAAAACTTAATGAAGATCTTTTTTCTTAGTGATGTCATGGTACAAGAAACAAGCAGCTGTTCCGTCAAATAGTGTAAAAATAAATTTTTAACGAAATGATATAGTTTTCTTAAATTTACAGGGCTGCATTTGCATTGAGGCAAAGAATGCTGCATTGCGTCCAGAATTTGGAGTATCACATGATGGTAGAAGTGATTGAACCGCATTGGTGCACATTTTTACAGAGGATTGGAAAGGTACAGCGAATTTAGTAGATATATGAATACACAAAGGGTACTTAAAAGTTTAGCAATATGACTTGAAATACGGACGCAGGAGGCTGCATGTTGAGACATGTCCACGGGTGCATAGTAGCTGCCGGCAGCACGTCTGTTAATTTAGTTGTTCATTCGTATTGACAGTCTAAAGTGCGGACTATGGCATCGTGGTCACGTAGTGAGATAAGGGCAGTTTTACGGTATAACTTTTCGCGTGATTTAAGCATAGACCAATGCTTAGAAGAAATGACGCCTGCTTTTAAGAATGATTGTTCTCATCGTACGACTATATTCAGGTGGTATAGAGGATTCCAAAGCGGCAATTTCACTCTGGAGGGCGCTGAGAGAGAACGAAGACCGCGAACGTAACAGAAGAAAACATCACTGCCGTGAGGAAAGTGCTTGACGAAGACCGGAGAGTGACATACCAATAGATAGAGGAGCAAGGGCGGACTCATGATTTCGTCTAGGGGGGGGGGGGGTCGGTTGGGCGCAAACGATATTTGGGGCTAGTATTCTATCTCAGCGGAATTTATCCTATTATTGCTCCTTAAATCCATTGTGTTCTATCTGTTCAATGCCAAAAATACGGAAATCCTCAGAAAGGCAATATTTTATTATATGAGACCAAAAGAATTACGCTAGACCAGACAAAGAAAGATGTCTATAGACCATCTATAGATCGTGTCTTGAGACCGTCTCCACTCTGCCTATAGACAAATTGCGCAACGGCGTCTACTAGTGTGTACGAAGCTTAAGGATTAATACTCTGAACTACCCGTTAAACAAATCAAGTAATTGGTAATACTGACACAATCAAGCACTTCTATTATATCAGCAAGTGATAAAAATATGGATAGGTATAGTCCATTATTTTTTGAAATTCAATATAGGTAGATGTTACTGTTATTCTTCAGACTCTCTTTGTCGATTTACGGCATAGTTGTTGTTTTCTCAGTTTTCGAATCGGTGTTGATCGCATGAAAAAATGTTGGAAATCTTTGGAAAAAAACTATATATGTTAGATCGTAATTATTTTGATAATGTATGTTTGTACGAAACAAGAACAGGAATACAAGGCTGTACATATTCACATGTTGTGCAGAAGCTCTGTGACTTAAACGAATTCCAATATAGCAACATACGCAGGAAGAAATGCGGACGTGTGGTATTGACTTCGAGCATCGATCGATGCATTTTCTAGACAGGCTACAGGCGCACCGCTAAGCAAATCTAATAAATGTATATTTCCAATGTAGGCGTTCATCTAACATTAGCAAATTTCCCCTAAATAATTGCAAAGTCCGGTTTTAATGGTGCAAGTTGTTCAAGGGCGTATTTTAAATATGGACGCGTAAAATGGTTACACCAATTTTTGTGGGAAAACTTTTTATTTGACAACAAAAAATGAGAAATCGTGTTTTTGTGATTCAATCGAAAGTGTCGTCAGGAACGAACAAACTTTTTAGGTAAGATTTTTAGGTATTTATGAGACCTACAGAATGAGACCACACATGAAAAGATCCGACTAATAGCAAAAATGTTATGGCCGAAAAACCAGACAAAATGCAGGTTTTGGCTCTTGTTGGTAATGCGACGATAATTTTACGCAACTACTTGAAATTCGTCAAATCAGCAGGATACATACTTCTGAATAACAGCAAAATTGGAGTATAATGGACAAGTAGTTTTTTGAGAATATCTAATTGTTTATCCCAAAACACCTGTTTTCCGCACATCACTACTAGTTTATTGAGCTACATACAGGAGTTCAAAGAGCATTTTACAGCAAAATACACTAATCTACGTTGCCGATATGAATTACAAACCATTCCGAAAGATAAATGTTATTTTTATGCGAAAAACAAAGGTTACGTTTTTTTCTTTAAGGCAAATTCAAAAAGTTCGTATTTGTGAGTAATTGAGCAAATGCGCTACGATATTCGAAATACATACGTTACTATAGACATTTTAAAACAAAGCGGATGTGTCTATCATCTTTTGTTGCGAGTTACTCACAAACACGAAATATTTGAATTTGTTTAGAAGAAAAACGTAACCCATCCTTTTTTTTGCATAAAAATACCATTTATCTTCCGGAATAGTTTTCGATTCATATCGACAAGGTAAACTAGTTTATTTTGCTATAAAATGCCCTTTGAACTAACCCATGTATATTGCTCAAAAAAACTAGTAGTGATGGCCGGAAGACAGATGTCTTGGCATAAACAATTAGAAATTCTCACAAACTACCTAATTGACCAATCTACTCCAATTTTGTTGTGGTTATTTAGAAGAACAAATCCTACGAATTTGAAGAATTTCAAATATCTGTGACAAACCATCGTCGGTTTTCGGCGATAACTTTTTTGCTATTAGTCGCATCTTTTTACGAGTGGCCTCATTTTGTAGGTCTAATAAATACTTAAAAAATCTTATAAGGAAAGTTTGATCGTCCCTGCCAATTATTTTGATTGAATCTCAAAAAAACACGTTTTCTCATTCTTTGTTGTCGAATTAAAGGTTTTCTCACAAAAATTGGTGTACCCATTTTATGCGTCCATGTTTTGAATACCTCCTTGAGCAAGTTGCAGCAATAAAACCAGACTTTAGAATTATTTCGCAAACCAGGGGTATTTTCGTCTAATACAGGGTGGCGCAGAGGAAACGCATGTTTTCTGACCGAATGATATTTCGCACAGAATAGGGATATGACCTCGCCGCACCGCCAGCAGAGAACACATGCGATGCAGTTTCAGCCATGGCACCGTGGATGACGGAGCATCGTGTGTTTGCCGTCGAGCAATTTTTTCGAAACGATGATTCTGTAGTGATATTAGTGATATTCCGTCGACAGTTCAATGTTGAACGCCACGGGCCAATTCCAGATCGAAACACAATACTCCGATGGGTTGAAGCATTTCGAAGTACTGGATCCGTAATGAAGAGGAAGCCACCTGGCCTTCCCCGTACCGTGCGGACTCCAGGCAATATCGAAACAGTGAGAAGAGCGGTCCTTGATAGTCCCCAACGGTCCACTAGGCGCCAAGCTCCAACTCTGCGTATGTCCCGTCGGTCGTTACAACGCATTCTGCATGACGATTTACAATATCATCCGTACAAGATAATGATCGTGCAAGAGCTAACGGAAAGCGATTTTGCACAGCGTAGAGAATTTTGTGCGAGAATGCGGGCCATTTTTGCTGACGATCCTGACGTCGTCATAATGATGAGTGACGAAGCACACTTCCATTTAACAGGATATGTAAACAAGCAGAACTGTAGGTATTGGGCGGCCGAAAATCCACGAGAGCTACACCAACGACCCTTGCATAGTCAAAAATTAACTGTGTGGTGCGGAATCAGTAAATTAGGTATCGTTGGTCCTTACTTTGTTGAAGAGGAAGAAAGAGCAGTAACAGTTACTTCAGCACGTTATGTTCACATGTTACAAAATTTTCTGTTACCCGAACTTCAACGGCAACAAGTAAACATGGGAGAGCTGTGGTTCCAACAAGACGGTGCCACAGCTCACACAGCGAGAGCATCAATGGAATGGATTCGACAGATGTTTCCTGAACATGTGATTTCCCGTTTCGGCGATGTCCCTTGGCCCCCACGCTCCCCAGATTTGTCCGCATGCGACTTATTTTTGTGGGGTTACCTTAAGGATAAAGTGTACCCTCACAAGCCTCGTGCGTTACAGGAACTGAAAATTGCTATTCGTCAAGAAATTGCAAGAATACCACAAGAAATGATTTTACGTGTAATGCACAACTTTCAAGAGCGGTTGAAGATGTGCGAGCGCGAAGCAGGGCGACACTTGAGTAACGTTATTTACCATCATTAGTTTAAAAAGTGCACTATCATTACTTTATTTAGCTGTAACTGAAACAAAGTTATCTTGGAAATAAAAAATGTTATGCTTAGGTGAAAATCGTGCGTTTCCTCTGCGCCACCCTGTATGATATGACTAATGCAACACCAACCCCGAACAAAATCAGTCAAGCTCTACACACTTTTTGAATTACTATTGAGCAGCAAACAGAAGATAAATCACTTTTTAAGTGCAATCTGTATAGCCAATATATTGCTTAGACTTAGATTTGTCACAAGTCACAGTACTCGTATGTACGTATAAATCGTAAGAATCGTGCTGTAAACGTAAGTGATGTCGAAGAGGGACAAAGGATACCAAAAATCGCAAGCTCAGTTCCTATAGCGATAACTTATAGTTATTATGCCTCTGTCGCCATGATGTGTCAGAAAGCAACACAATGGTGTTAGATTACAAAAGTAAGTGTCAGACGTCTAGGGGGGAGGCGCGCGCCCCCCTCTAAGTCCGCCACTTCAAGCACCAGCAATTCATTAATTGTGCATGACCATTTACACGCAAGGAAACCTTGTTCTCTCTGGGTACCGCATAGTCTAACGGAAGAGCAGTAGACTCGTACGACTTGGTGCCGAAAGATTCTTAAAATATTTGATAAGGAGCAATCTCCGTATGTGAGCAGCATCGTGACAGATGACGAGACTTGGGTTTATTATTACGATATGCCGCCTAAGGCTCAAACTAAAGTTTTGGACTTCGATGATGATGACACGCCCGTAGCTGTGAGAAAATCCCGATCTGTTAAGAAAAAAATGATAGCTGTATTTTTCAAATCGAGCGGAATTGTGGTACAGGGAACAGTGCCTACCTAGAGTCATAGAGTCTGAATAGCCTGTGGCCTAAGTCAAGAATGGATACTTGGTACCTCTACCATGACAATGCTCCAGCTCACCGCGTCAAAGTCTGCACCGAGTATTTGACCACTACTGGACTGAAACTTAATGAGCACCATTCTTACAGTCCAGATCTTGCTAAAAGGAAAACGATTTTCTAGCAATGAGTACCTTCTGAGGGCTTGGTGCAACGAGTTTGCCGCAGTCCCGGGTGAAACTTGGCAGAGCTGGTTTAAGGACTGGTTTTGGCGGATGGACAAGTGTTTTGAATGAGGTGAAAATTACATTGAACGAGGTCAATAAATAAAGCTGTATTGCAAAACTTTTATAGTATCCTTTGTATAATTGATTAAACGTTAGTCTTTTACAATTCCAAACTAAATAGCCGTGTCACTCAAAGCAGCAGTGAATATTTTATTTCTAGGTGAATAATGTGGACGAAATTCTTGCTTGCCATACCGACTTTTTGAACAACTGTCTGAAAGACTGCATGCTGACAATACCGCCAGTTTTAAGCACAATCATGGAACTTTTGGCCATATGCGAAGATTTTTGTAAATTCGTGCAGGTACGTTTGTTACTGTTTTATATTTTGACGTGTTCACAGCATTGGGCAGTTTGCTGTAGCAGCACTGCTAATAGCTGCTTTGAGTGTATTTTTTACCTATTTGCTTTACTTGATTTGTATAAAAATCCAGTTCTACATAGACACTTTTCAATTATGAAAATAAAAAGTATAATTTTTCTATTCCCATGCACTCACAGAGGATGCAGCGGTATTTTGTGGAAGCAGAATTGGGTTCTTTGCCAAACTCCTTTTACGAATCCTTCACTCAGGTATTTTGGGGTAATCACGCTTAGCTTATAGTGCCTTTTACATTATATGGCATGTATTTTCGTTTCGTCTTTTCTCTTCATTATCATAAATAGACAACTATATTTCTCAATGTATATCATATACTAAATGACACAGAAAATGTAACACCGACTAGGAGGGCTGTAATTATGAACATACTTCCACAGGTTTTGGGTCTACTGATAAATAGAAAGTAATTGAAATTCTAACTCGAAATTTCGCAAAATAGCTGAGATATCCCACCTTAATGTTAATAATGTGTTGAAGTTCCTCTGTTCGCTACACATTCGTTAAGTCGTCGCGGCATTGATTGGATTAGGTGATTGATGTCTTCTTGGTGTGTTGTATCCCGGGCCATCTGAACCGGGAACAAGCCGGGAACAACATCGAAGATAAAATTTGTTTTTCGAACATCTGCGGGATCAACAGCAACATTGATGCTGTTCATCACTACCTGCAATCCAATCGTCCCGCCGTGCTTTTCTTGGCGGAGACAAAAATCTCAGAGACTGCACCGATTAACCATCTCAACTTCCCAAACTACGAGGTGCACTCCAATCTGAGAAAGAACGGGGGAGTTGTGGCTTTTGTCCGCAGCAGTCTTTCCTGCTCCAGGGATCTTTCTTTGGAATCAGACCGGAAGGACATTCTGTGGCTTCGCCTCAACTCCAAAACATCACCCAAATTTATTTGCTGCCTTTATCGCTCTCCCTCGAACCATAACTGGGATGACCTACTCGAATACCTCGCCGTCCAGATCGACTTCCTGAACATCAATCACCCCGCTTCAGAGGTAGTTCTTCTCAGTGATTTCAATGCCCATAATGAGCTTTGGTTGGGCTCAAATAAGACCGATGCAGCAGGTCGTGCAGTTGAAGCGTTCGCTCTTACTCAAGGGCTGACCCAGCTGGTGACGAGCCCTACTTTTTTCCCCCGCGTCTCGTCACACGCCAGTAGCCTGCTGGATCTCTTTCTGACCACGCATCCTGCCCCTTACAGCACTGCCGTCCTGTCCCCCTTGGGTAACTCAGATCACGGTGTTGTGGAGGTTAGGTTTCGGTCAGAAGCCGCTGTGGCAGAGAAACTCGCACAGGCCGCAAAACTTGGCATTATGGACATGCCGACTGGGAGGGGCTCAGAGACTTCTTCTCTAGCTTTCCTTGGAGAGATGTCTGTTTCACTGACGCGGATGCGTCGACTGTCTGTTCTTCAATAATCGAAATTATCCACGTCGGAATGGAGGAATACATCCCTCACACAGTGAAAGTTCCTAAACCAGGGTCCAACGGCTGGTACAACAAATCGTGTGACACTGCTCGCCAGCAGAAGATCAAGGCCCACAGAACCTACTTACAAAACCCCACTGTAGAGAACAGACAAGCCGACGTCGAGTCCAGAAACAAATATAACGAAGCGGTTCGCAATGCCAAAAACCAGCATGATATAAAAGTTATGCACAGGGTAATGTCGCAGCGCAATGGCAGTCGATCTTTCTGGACGCTGGCCAAGCAGATTGAAAAGAACTTCTCACACAGTAGCCTTCCACCACTTACGTGTCAGGATGGAACTATTGTATTCGACTCAAAGGCCAAGGCGGAAGTGCTAGCCAAGATCTTTGCTGCCAACTCCACCATGGACGTCCCCACCAACGCCCAAGTGCCGTCAATTCAAAGGGTTCCCCACACTATGCGGGAGGTAACATTCAGGCATAAGACCGTAAGACGAGTGCTCTTGTCGCTCGACATCAACAAAGCTTCTGGTCCGGACTTGATTCCTGCCATTGTACTGAAGAGATGTGCAGCGGAGCTTGCTCCAGCTCTTTCGCGTCTCTTCCAGATATCTTATGAATCCGGCACCTTCCCAGAAAACTGGAAATTTGCTCATGTACAGCCCATCCCAAAAAAGGATCTAAGACCGACCCTTACAACTACAGGCCTATAGCTCTTCTTTCTGTTATAAGTAAAGTGATGGAGAGGTGCATAAATCGCGAGCTTCTGGACTACCTCGAACGTCACAGCTTGATTAGCGACAGGCAGTACGGTTTCCGGCACCAACGATCCACAGGGGACCTCCTAGCTTACGTCACGCAACTGTGGAGTAAACTCATCCAGTCTCATGGTGAGGCTCATTTCGTTGCTCTTGACATCACGAAAGCGTTCGATCAGCTGTGGCACGCTGCCCTCTTAAGCAAACTTCCATCCTACGGCCTCCCAGAAAAGCTTTGCAGATGGGTGGCTGACTTTATCTCTGGCCGCAAGATATCCGTCGTAATTGACGGATTCTCCTCTTCATCCCACAACGTCAACGCGGGTGTTCCCCAGGGATCGGTCTTGGCTCCAACACTGTTTCTCTTACATATCAACGACCTCCTTTCCTGCACGATCAACCCAATCCACAGCTTCGCTGATGACAGCACTCTACATGCAGGAATTCAGAGTGACAAGCCGATCTCTGCCGCTGAGCTGGAAAAAAGAAGACTAGCGACGACTTCTTCTCTGACAAGAGACCTGGAGGCTATCACTGCTTGGGGACGCAACAATCTTGTACAGTTCAATGCTTTCAAAACACAGTACTGTACTTTGACGAACAAAAAGCGTCCTAGCGCTCATACAGTTTCGATGGACGGTCGAGTTCTACCAAAGAGCCATTCATTTCGGCTGGTCGGAGTCCAGATCACCGAGGACCTGATCTGGCACGAACACATCTCTTCAATAGCTGCAGCTGCTGGGAAAAAGCTAGGCTATTTGTTTAGGGCTAAGAAGTTCTTTTCTCCGCATGACCTTCTCACTCTATACAAGGCCCAGATAAGGCCTAGCCTCGAGTATTGCTCACACATTTGGGGTGCTGCCGCCCCGACTACATTGTCCATGCTCGATGCTGTCCAGAGGAGGGCGGTCCGACTGATCGATAACTCTTCTCTAACAGACAGTCTTGGGACACTTTCGCACCGACGGGCCGTCGGCGATCTAGCTCTTTTCTATCGCTACACCAACGGGCTTTGCTCCTCAGAGCTCTCTTCCATGATGCCGCCGCGCGATGTGCCTGCCAGACAGACCCGCCTGACTTCGGCGTCCCATCCTAACCGTGTCAAACTTCGTACATCCAGAACTGGCCGATACGACCGCTCCTTTGTCCAGAAGGTGTCTAGATTGTGGAACAATCTACGGGAGGAAGCTTTTCCCAGTTCTACTAACCTTGGGCAGTTCAGGGGTCGTATTAACAAAATTTCTTTGGGATCATCATAGCAGCCGCGGTGTTCCGGCATTTAGGCTTCTGCCTGCGCGGCTGTTTCGATAAAAAAAAAATTGGTTTGTAGAGCCTCTAATCTTTGTGAAGGGTGCGGTGAGTTGTGCAACCTTCTTCCCATCATGTCTCGTACATGTTCGATGGTAAACATGTTCATATTGTTGGGATCCTGATATGACCAAAAAAGTACGGCTCGGAATGCCTTCAACATTTTATCTGCATACGACGGAGGTCCCAGAAGTACCCGCCCAACGAAGAAAACACAAAAATTTTGTAAAAAAATGTATTTATTTTTTAACATAATCTCCTTTGAGCTCTATACACTTTTCTCGACGATGTTCAATAAGTTCGATACGCTTTTTATAATAAGAACTGTCTTGCTCCTCAAAATCGCCATTAACTGCCGACATCACTTCTTCATCGTTGGAAAATCTCTGACCACTGAGGGAAACAGAAAATAATCCGAGAGGGCTAAATCTGGTGAATATGGTGCATGAGGTAGCAATTCAAACTTTAATTCGTTAATTTTGGCCATTGCAATAACGGATTTGTGTGCTGGTGTATTGTCTTGATGAAACAACACCTTCTTCTTAACCAAATGCGGCCGTTTTTGCTTGGTTTCATCGCTTAAACGTTGCAATAAGTTCGCATAACACTCGCCGTTGATAGTTTTACCTTTTTCATGATAGTCAATGAAAATTATCCCACGCGCATTCCAAAAAAACCGACGCCATAACCTTGCCTGCAGATGAAAGGGTCTTCGCCTTCTTTGGAGCCGGTTGTCCCTTTTGAGTCCATTGTTTTGATTGTTCTTTTGTCTCGAGTGTGAAGTGATGGACCCATGTTTAATCCATGGTTATGAAACGACGCAAAAATTCTGCTTTGTTGCTGTGAAACTTCGTTAAACACTCAATTGAAATATCTTCACGACACTGCTTTTGCTCGATTATGAGCAATCGCGGCACCCATCTTGCACACAGCTTTCTCATGTCCAAATTTTCAGATAATATGCGATGAACCGCACTTTTTGAAATGCCTACTATGTCTGCTAGCTCGCGCACTTTCAGTCGACGATCATTCTGTACCGCTTTGTGAATTTTCTTCACCATTTCTGGAGTCCTCACCTCATTTGGTCGACCACTGCGATGCTCGTCTTGACAGCTCATAAGGCCTCGTTTAAACTCGGCTACCCAATATTTTCCTGTTGTAAACGAAGGAGCAGACTTACCCAGAGTATAATCCAGTTCAGTTTTTATATTGGTCGGGCTGAGGCCTTTGAAATAAAAGTATTGTACCACATAACGATGACCAATTTTCTCCACTTTCACAAATTCGCTGAAAACGTTCAGTATTGATGGCTGCCAAACAAATACTAAACAACGTGGCATCTTCAAACTTGACACATATGCTTTATAGGTACTTCCATGATAGCAATATGTTTACAAGTTTTTATCAAAATTCAATAAATAATTCTGGGTGTTGCATTTTATGTTACTTAGTATAGATGTCCATATTTTTCCTCTGGTAGATTTGAGAAGGAGTAAGGTCCGTAAACTCTGCTTACAAGTGTAGGTGTAGTGATATTAAAGTCATGATACTCGTATTTTGTATCTGAAAAAATATATTTGTCTATATTTTGCACTATTCAGTGAATTTGTCGAAGATCGTTTGTTTTTATCGGTAAACGATAAACTAAACAGATTTTGCAATTGCAATAATCTGTGGGGTCTTTACATACCTATAGCGACCTCGAGAATGGATTTTGTAATACTGATAACATGATTTTTTGCGTAGTTGCGTGATGTAATCTTGGATGATGAATAAAAAATATCAAGATCATACCGCAAAATTTTCGTATAATACCAATTTTTGGATATTCATTTATGTATATAGCCTATGTTTCATCTCTTTGTTGTTGAATACGTTATTGTGTCATTTACAAAGTATTATATTTTTTTGATAAACTAACCAAATGGTGATGAAACGCGTCCTAACAAACGCCAAATTATACTTTCATATCTACGTATATACACTTACTTTTAGATACATTATCATATCTACATTACACGTGACTTTTTCAACTAATCTCCTCACTTTATATTTCATTGCTAAATTGTTTTATCATACAATGTTTACTTATTTCTAATATCATTAGCCGTTACACATACATGCAACACTATTGTTGTCGATTTTTTCATTATGCATGAGAAAATTGTCCATATTTGCGTTGTGAAGGTAATCTATTTTCTAAATCTACCAAAGATAGTATTTTCAGTTCCAGTATTATAAAATATACGTTTTTGTAGTGTTTGTATATTCTGTTGCAAAAGCCCTAGAAGCGGCATTTATCACAGTCAGTCTTTATTGGTTTTCTTAATGTAACTTGAGTATCACTTAGGCATTAGTTATTTTTTTTAATTTAATAGCTAGAGTAATCAAACTTGGACAATTTGACACACAGCCATGAGCACCATGTGATTTTTTCTATGATTTTTCTCGCTTATACAGTCCGATAACTAAAAGTATTCTCGAATAATTTAATTGTGAAAAAGAAAAATTTCCTTAAAATTCGGTACTCCGACATCCACTTCCGCGCGGATTTTTCTTTATCCTGGGATCCTCTTTGCAATAACTTCAAGTGGATATTGTAACATTATAAGTTAGCTTAATCGATTTATTTTGATTTTTATTTGACCTTTTAGCATCGGTCATTATATGCGAGATGATTTGTAGAACCAGCATTCCACTAAACAGGAATCAGTATTTATTTGATCGTGCTTTTTAGGGTGATTTGGCATTTCAAGGAACTGCCTCAAATCCAACAGAACCTGCACCGAGCTTTAAGCAGAAAATATCAATCTACGACGTGGAATTTTCCGCAGCTCTGATGAAACTTTTGGATCAAATTAACGATCTCAACAGAGACACTATCGAGCACGATAGGCTTTTCAACCTGCTGTACAGGTATGCATCGTATTTTTATCTAACAACTAATGAGTTGGAACCGAGGACAAAAACATCATCGTCATTTCCCTACGCACTAAGGTGTCAGTAATTATATACATTAAGCCTCCTTAACCTTCCTTCCATTGGTTGTTCATAGATGGCCTGCGTTATACCCTATGTCCGAAACTCCTAGAGATTACTTCTCCTCGCCTCCTACAGCACCCTCAAGCCCTCCCTTACACTGCAGATGGTAAGTACTGACATAGAAGCTTGCCAGAATCAACACATCCAAATGTGACAACAAACAACAGCTGATGACGTTCAAAATACCCATACTGTCAATTGACAGACTGCTTCGTACCTCATAGCGATGGCAACTGTTTTGTGTGAGTTGTTTCGCATAAAGTAATTTCAGTTCATTTTTGAAACAGCCACACTTATTTTTTAAAATGAATTTACATTTGAAACATTAAATATAAGTTACGATATTAGACGGAAATAAGGTCTTAAATCCGTAGTACCTAAATCGACAGTTGTAAAGGACTCATTAATTTATAATGGTATGACAATATACAGGGTGTGCCATCCGATCGTTCTTTTTTTAATCTAAAAAACACACTTTTTATGAGTGACAAACCGAACTCTTTATTGAAAATTGTAGGTCGGTCTTTGCCATTTATGTATGGAATATAACATCGCACATATGTCCACCGCGGATCCGTTAACATGCCATCATCCGAACATCAAAATTTTCGATGACTTTTTGCAGTATGTACTGTGGGTCCACGGCCGCAATTTCGGCGCGAATGTTGCGCTTAAGGTCTTGAATCGTGCGTGGGGCAGTCGCGTACACCTTACGTGTCCACTGGCGTTAAGTCGCACGATCTTGCTGGAACCAAAGGTCGTTGGCATCAATACCTTCCAATTTCGGCCCAAAAAACTACGTTATCATACCACGATAACGTTCGGCGGTGACCGCAACGGTTTTTTCTTCTGAATCCTCGAAAAAGAACGGTCCAATGATGCCACCAGCCCGTAATCCGCACCAAACAGTTACTTTTTGGTCATGGAGAGGTTGTTCATGGATCTCGTGTGGGTTTCGAACCCCAAATCCTTCAGTTTTGCTTATTTACGTAGCCACTGAGGTAAAAATGTGCCTCGTCTGAAAATATGATTTTAGCTGAAAATCCCTCTCATTGTTCAAGCATCCAATGAACAAGTTATTGAATATATTGAAGAAAATAAGATATTGACTAAATTTCAAGCAGGTTTCAGAAAAAAGTTTTCTACTGAAACAGCAAAATGGTAGTAGAAGAATAGAGGCGAAATATGGATGAAAAAAAGTTTACAGTAACATTGTTCTTAGATTTCAAGAGAGCATTTGAGACCATTGACAGGGAGAAATTGTTAACGAAATTGCATTGCTATGGATTTAAGGTTCCGTATTCAACGTATTACGAAATTATTTAATCAATAGAAGTCAAAGAACTAAAATTGGCAATACATTATCAAACATTAAAACATTTCGGTAGGTGTGCCATAGGGTAGCAAATTAGGTTCATTACTATTTATTTTATATATTAACCATATTCCTGATATTTTACAACACTGCATTGTACAACTATTTGCTGATGATACATTAATATATATATATATATATATATACAGGGTTATCCAAATTAAGTGTCCACCATTAGTAACTTTGTTATTAGTGAAAATACAAAGTTGTTTGAATTAGCAAACTAGTAGAATTTTTAACGCTGGTAAAAATGAGAAATAAAAAAAAAACAATTGAGAGTCGTTATTTTGATTTTTTTCAGTAAAATAACATTTTTTTAAATGGAAACCCCTGTATATTATATTTTTTTCTGTTAAAGCATCAAATTTTAAACAAAAAAGCTTACAATAACTTTTCTCCTAGGTTACAAATTGTTGAAGTTATGGCCTCCAATCTGAAACAATTAAATTGTATCGACAAACTTTATTTTCAACATCAACTTATAATCTTACAAAATACAATAACAATTTTTTTTAAAGAAGATGCTCGAAAACACCACCTTGTTCTTCAATACATTTTTGGGCACGTTTTTCAACTGCTCGAACTGTCTTAAGTATGGTCCTACCATCTATCTGGGTTATCTTTTCCCTAACTGCAGTCTTTAACGCGTCAAGGTTATCGTACCTTCGCTTGTAAATTTGGTTCTTTAAGTAACCCCACAAGAAGTAATCAAGTGGGTTTAGATCTGGTGATCAGGGAGGCCACTGTATTGGGCCATTTGTTCCTATCCACTGATCATTAAAAGTAGTACTTAGAAAATGATAAGTACCTCTGGAGTTGTGGGCAGGTGCGCCATCTTGCTGAAAATGCAGATGATGTCTACTTATAAGATCCAATTCGTCTAAGAAATTAGTCAGAATTTCTGACATAAATTCCACATATCTTTCACCAGTTAGGGTTCCCTCATAAAAGAACGGGCCAACAATTTTTGAACCAATTATACCGCACCAAACGTTGAAACTGAAACGGACTTGTGGGCCTCTTGGATGTACTAACAAAAGATTTTCTCTTGACCAATAATGGTGGTTTTTTCTATTAAACATTCCAATTTGATTCATCTGTCCATAAAAGGTAACGAAAGTTATTTACATTTTGGCGACAGAAGCTAAGATACCAATGGCAAAAAACAAGTCTTCTCTCTGGATCCCCTGCCAAAAGCGTTTGAACTGGTCGGTACTTATACGGAATAAATTTGTATTTTTTTAAAATCCTTTGAACAGTACCATAACTGAAATTAGAGTCCTTGAGAATATCTGCTATTGAATTCTCACGATAAGCTTCAAAATATCCAATAACTGCAATTTCCGTGGCCTCGCTTATTATGAATTCTTTTTTTGCCCTTGTTTTAGCAAAAACATTTTCGTTGCCCCTAAATTTTCGATAAAGTCTCAGAAAATATCGGTCATACGGTTGAATGCGAGCGGGATATAATTCACTGTAGTATTCTCTTGCTCTCAAGGAGGATTTTCTGCACACTAAATAGCATTCTAACATATCACACTTTTCTTCATGGGAGAACATTTTTCTTTAAATTAATGACACAATAAAGCTTATAAACAAGTATTTACACTAATGTTTGACATTATTTGATTTTATCATTGTTTTCCAAAGCCTTCTAGTTGCGAGTATGTCCAGTTTAACAATTTGTCGCTTATCTTAATGCTGTCAAATCGCGAACGCCATGTTGTTTTCATAGCCGTCTTAATATTATAATACTGCAAATAATTAAAAATATTTATCGTTATTTTGACTTTATTTTTGACTTTAGCGGAAAAGTCATTATGAACTTTTTTGTTTAAAATTTGATGCTTTAACAGAAAAAAATATAATATACAGGGGTTTCCATTTAAAAAAATGTTATTTTACTGAAAAAAATCAAAATAACGACTCTCAATTGTTTTTTTTTTATTTCTCATTTTTACCAGCGTTAAAAATGCTACTAGTTTGCTAATTTAAACAACTTTGTATTTTTACTAATAACAAAGTTACCAATGGTGGACACTTAATTTGGATAACCCTGTATATATATATATATATATATATATATATATATATCAAATAAAGACATCGAATCTGCAATAGAGCTATTAAATAATGATGTGAAAAACGTAATAAATTGGTTAAATGTAAATAAACTTAAACTAAACACAAACAAAACAAAATATATGCTAATAGGAAAATCTTTAGATCAAAATACGATAAATCTTACAATTAATCATGAAAAAATTGTGTCAATCGAATCATTTAAATATTTGTGCATATACGTAGACAGTAAATTAAAATTTGAAGGGCACTATGAATATATTATTTCGAAAATATCCAAGAAAATAAATTACTTTTATAGAATTTCGCATAGCCTAAACGTTTATTCTAAAAAAATTGTGTACAACACTATCATTCTTCCTCATTTGTTATATTGTTCGACTATTTTGTTCACTGCAAATGAAACTGTATTTTCAAATATTTGTAATTTTGTAAAACTATGAGAATCATCTCGAATAAAAATAAATATACTAGAATACATTTTATGCAGAAAGAATTACAATGGTTAAATATCAAAAATTTCATAGCCTACTTGGTTTTCATTTTCATATTCAAGTTGAAAAATCATCTACACCAAATCACTTAGAAAATGTTATTGTATTGAACAATGAGTGCCACAATTATTATACTAGAGGAAGTATAGACTTTCATTTACAAAACTGCAGTAGCAATATAACGAGCAAGTCAGTATTTAATAAATTAAGTAATGATATCAAGATGTGTGTCAGTTTGAAAATGTTCAAAGGGAAATTGAAAACATATCTCATGGAAAACCAGAATTCATAGTAATGAAATTTTGTATAAAAATATGTAGCCTTGAAGACATAATAATATATTTTGTGATATACTGTGTAATATGGATATTATGGACATAGTAGCATTAATGCTAAATAAATCTGAAACAAACAAACAAATTAATAAAAATACGCCGTTGCTGATGGTCCGCTGGAGTCAATTATTGAGTTAGTTGGATCTTATATGGGTGTAGGTGGAGATCAACATGCAAAATCCTCCATAACGTTGTTGGCCTGATGTCCCATTCTTGCGAATGGTGTTTTATCGAAGATGATTGCTGTTGATGAACACTTTCACTCACAGCGGCCATTGATTCACGTATACGTACCGGACTGGCATGTTGATATGTTCTACGACCTTCAACTGAGACAGATTCCTCAAAACAATTGATAGTCCACCGAATTCCACGCTCTGTGAGACGATTATGTAGACCAAATTCATTACGAAGTTTGCGAAAAGTACGTTTCAAAGATCGTCCGTTTTCTTAATATTTTTCGACGACCAAAATGCGTTCTTGCGTTGTTAAAGAATCATAGCAACACATCGCAGTTGACACATTCAACATGTCATAAAATGGTAGTTGAAAAAAGAAGCAATAGATAGAACACCCTTTACATGGTCTCCCTGATGCTATCAAAAGAATTAACAATTTAAAGATATTCCGCCGTGAGCTTTTAATATGTAAACCATATTATACCATATGTGAATTGAGATCCACATACGTAATTATGTTATAGTTTAGTTGCAAGTTAGCTTTGTCATTAAGAATGATTGTATTCTAAAGACAATAATGCTTTATTTATTATTTATCTAGTTCCGCGAATCGGTCTCGGGCTTGGTCGCGGTACTTTTAGAAGCAGATCATCATTATTTAATTTGTCTGTATGCAAATAATACATGTGTATGTTTATTTCATTTACAGATTAGATTTCAACTCGTTCTACACGGGACAGAAGCAGAAGTTGGACAAGGCTGTCAATGGATCGTCGGGTTGAAAGCTAAGTTTATATTTGTTTACTGATTGCACATGCAAAGTTTAAGCCATGTTGAATATTATCGATACGTTCGCAGTATTTCACAATAGTAGTATACCCTACAATATGAAATGTATAAATTAAATAATAAGGATGCACCGAGTACGCGGTGCTCAGGGGTAATCTGACATCATGGCGCAGGCTTGTCAAGTCAAAAGATTGCAGGTGCGATGTGAAACCACGTCACGCCTTTTATTTTTCGCATAAACACTCAATAAACAAAACCCACAAAACAACCTAAAGAAATGCAATAAAAATCTGAAAAGTACGTGGATAACGAGTTTCTCGCAGTTCTGCAAAGAAAACCTTCACAAATAGGTACATAAGGATAACTTAGGTTTTGTTTTACCCAAATTATCATCACCACGTCATCATGCTATTTTAACTTGTTTTTTTTAATCAGTGTTTGTGATGGCTATGACATGGCTGCAATTCTATTAGGTATTTTTTCTGTATTTGAGCAACATGGGACCTGACGAGGCCTACCTTTTACAAAACTATAGGTTTAAAATTTCTTGTAAAGGGAAAAATCCAAAAATATATTAAAATCGGATGTTATAAAAATGTCATGTCAACTCAATATTTTAGCTGGTAATATCCGCGCTGAGTTTCAAGAATCTCAACATTTGAAAAACAACTGAAAATTCCTTTAAAAGCAGTGACCTACAGCACTACACTCACAAACAACCGTCTAAGCTGTACAACTTTTTTTGTGGTACGTTAATTTCTTGGGAATAAAGAGATCTTTCAAAAACACAAATATACGAGGTCTTTGAATTAAGTGATTTTTTATTTTTTTTTTCATCCGAATATAATTAAAATTTTATATTGTCACCCTCAAAATGACTTCCTTCTGAAGCCATACAGCTCTGGAGATGGTTCTTTTACTGCTCATAGCAGTGCTGGAACTCCGATACTGGAATGGCCTTCAGCTGGTCGGTTACAGCCGTTTAAATGTTTTAGACTGTCCCAAAATGAGTTTCCTTGAGGTCATTTTTCAACTTCGGGAGGAGAAAAAAGTCACAAGGACTCAAGTCAGCTGAACGAAGAGGCTGAGGAGCAGCAGGAATGTTTTCACTGGCCAAAAACTCGTTTATTGACATTGATGTGTGAGTCAAATTTAACTCTTCCCCGATCATTCTGACAGCAGACGATCTTAACGCACAATATCCCGGATTCTGTGTTCTTGAATATGAAGGCCTCCTGCTTCGTGGTTCATCTTTAATCGACTCTCTCCCTTTTGAAAATGCATTTAACCATCTAAAAACCTGGGCTCTTGACAAATCACTATCTCCGTAGGCCTGTTTAGTAAGAGTTTTCATTGCACTGTGCCCAAGTCTGAAGCGCTACGTTTCTTGAAATTGATGTCACTCATTTTTAGAACACAATAGAAAAAAGTGTTTTGCAAAAAAAAAATGATACGTACAACCAGATGACTCAAGCGAGTTTAAACTTGTACTGAAAGCGGATCACATGCTCCCCTGTCTCCCCTCTAACCCCGGCGACCCCAGTATTGCCAGATGGAATGCTTCGTTCACTTAATTTACAGACCTCGTAATATAAATATCACTAACAGTAGCTGAAATAACCCAGAGCAAAAGTAGTACTTTGTGAATCCCCAACAAATAATACTTAAAAAACACATATCTAACAGAAAGCTCAATATTGTCAGCCTTATCTGCGAATAAAAAGGTCAGGCCCCATATTCATCATTTTACTTCCCACACCATTTGTCAAGGAACCATTGCAATCGACAAATATTTCGAACTCGAGATATGATTTTTTTTTAATTTTATATGTAGGTACTCGTTTCTGCCGGTCTATTTATCTGTCTGTCCGATATTCCTTGGACCTTGTATAACCCAAACTGTATCTCTCGGACTATGATGAAAAAAAGCAAAAAACACCCAGGCCTCGTCTTTGTTTGTTTTTAGAGTTTTTGATAAGTCTGGACATAGACGAAAAGTAGGAATGGTTGATTTTTCAAAAATCCGTAACCTCGTTTTTCGGAATTTTTAGGGCAATAGAATAATTGAAATCACCATCCAAAGCATTTTTTTTCTATTTATAACTTTCGTATAGGTATGATTTTAAATAATAAAAATAAAAGATTGTGAAAATTAAATAGGCATACTTGGGGTAGACTAATACTTTATTGAGATACTGTATCTTTTTTGTTAATAATATTTTTATAGAGCGTCTAGTAGAACTACTTTATTGCCGCCTGTTTACAACACTGCACATTTTACATATCGAGTAATATTTACAATTTATATTTCGAAATACTCGTTAATTTTTAGTGTTATTTTGCGACTGATTATTACTCGAAGATTGTTGTGAATATTTTGAGACTGGAAGTATATTCGAAATTAATCATCTGTTTTTAGATGCGTCGATACTACTAATACAGTGCCATTGTTGTAATCTCAGTTGTATGTAGTTTATATATTTTTTCAGCATAATGTTACTACTAGTACTAAAACAATAAATTATGTTGATTCAAAAAGCTTTGTTTCACTATCCTAGAAAAAAATTGCCCGTGTAAAGATGCTGTCACTAGATCTGAATCGTGAGTGATCTAGTTATGGCAAAAAGAACTTTATTTGTTTGAAAGGTAATGCTATAAAGAAGTTGGTCAATGTGGTAATAAGTTCTGAAAGTGATGTCCATTTACCTCCATGCAATAATAAAGATTTTGTTCGAATCTATGCATCACATTTTCAAGCATGTCTTGAGTTATTTGTCTACATTCAGCCGTAATTCGCTGACGAAGATCTTGAATTGAGTCTGGCTTCGTACTAAAAAATTTACTTTTCAAATGCCCCCAAATAAAGTAATCTAAAAGACTTATGTTGTTGGACAGTTAACACGTTCTAAAAAGTGCTCTGGTATTTCTCAAATTTCATGGGTGTAACACCAGCGATTAATTTATTTCTTTTCTTACAAGCCTCCCTTGGTGGTGCGAGGATTGAAGTTTTCGGAAGTATTTGTGTTATGTGCATTTATTTGGAGAAATGACAGCAATTTGAATATAATATACGCCACCTCGTTTATAGAAAGTATACCAGGCTACAAAAAGTGCTTATAGTCCGGTCGATTTGGATAAATATGACAAAAAGCAAGTTCAAGACCTGTGAATTTGGTAAATGTAGAAATAATATATTAGTTTGAAATGTACTGGGACGTGCGGTGGATGGTACCATAGGACATGTACTGGGCTGTCGGACGAGCAATTTTTGGCTTATGAAAAGCGTAAGACTGATCAGAAGTGGTTGTGTGGCAGATGTGGTAGAAACAGACATTCTTCATCATCAGATCAGTCAGACGCTTTTGATTCCGTACCAATGGATAATCCCAGTAACAAAGACATAATGAAAACTATACAACAGAAGTTTTCAGAAATAGAAAAGGCCCTTAATTTTAATGGCGAAGTGATGGAGGGGTTACAAAGAACAATAAAAGATATATCGGATGAGAATCGTGAGTTGCGAAAAACACAAGAGCATCTTAAGAATCGTGTTGCTGAACTGGAGAAGGAGGTAGTAACTTTGAAGAAAAATGTTTCTAAAGATGAAGATGAAGCTAGGAAGAAAAGGGTGATTATTAAAGGAATTAAAGGAAATCAGAATATTGATGAAAACGTCAAAAAAGTATTTTTGAAACTGGGTATGGGGGAACCTAGCTATAAGGTGTTTGTTCTTTCTAAGGCTGAGGTAGATCCTACTGTGGTGGCTGTGCAATTTGATTCAGTGGAACAACGTAATACGGTTATAGAAAAGAGAAAAAGTCTATCACTGAGCAATTAAAACTACAGCATCTGTGATTCACAAGCTAATGAAGATCTTCCAAAGGAAATAAGAGAAATTCATAAAGAGGCAAGAAAATTGAAGATTTCTGGGTCTAAATACGTTTGGTGCAGAAATTTCCAGATCTATGCCAGGAAGGCTGATGGGATGGAAGTTGCATTGAGGATCAAAACCTTAGCAGTCATAGAAAATTTAAAAAAATGAGTGTTCAATTCTATTTGTTAGTGTTTTTTATTGAATCCATTACCTTTTTATGGAAGATTTATCATTTGCTTTTATTAATGTAAGATCGCTTACAAATATTTTCTTTGAATTTAAACAGTTTATATTAGAAAAGAAATTTGATATAGAGCGAGTAGAGGCGGTGGTGTAGGAATTTACATAGCAGAATATATAAAATGTAAAACAATAAACATTCTCACAGCGAAGCAGTAGAACAAATTTGGTTAGAATTTTGTATAAATACAGAGAATTTCAAGTTTGGCACACACTATAGGCCACCAAGTAAAAATGTATGTGAATTCCTACTTAATCTTGAAGCAAATCTCACTGAGCTTTATCTAAATTCTGGTACTATCATTTTTGGTGGAGACATCAATATTGATTGATTGAACTTTCAGAACAAGTTGAGGCGTTTCATAACTGTATTGAACTTTTAATTTATCTCGATTAGTTAATTCGCCCACTCGTATCGCTAATATTTCTGCTTCTCTTATTGATGTCATTCTTTTGTCTAATTATTTAAATGTATCTGACAAAGGAACAATAGATATTTTTGATGTGTCTGATCATTTGTTGGTGTATTGTACTTTGAATTTGAAATGTGTTGTAACGGAGAGTAGTAAATATGTTAGAAACCTTAAAAATATAGATAAGGGTATCCTAGAAGAATTCTTGCAAATTTCTCATTTTCTTGACTTATGGCGGACCTATAAGGATAATGGAAAACTGTTATCAAATTATTGCATTGTCGACGGCCCTGGATACGTGTGCGAAGTTTCAAATTGATCAAAATAAAAAAAAAACTAAATGACCTTTACTGCCTTTTACCTAAGTACGATAGTATGAGTATTGATTTTTTCAAACTCCAGAATTGAACTAACAGCGTATCTTATACGTGTTTCAGTCTTATGTTTTCAAAACTGATTTTAAAAAGCAAACGTAACGGACGTCTATTTTTTGCACGGCTTTTCTGTATCAATGCCAATGTTTGTTGTCAACTTATTTATAAATCGCACTATCAAAACGTGTCCTTGTGATCGCTGCAAAAGGGTCGCCATGTGTGATTTGTTACCAATCGAGATTTTGGAGAAAATCCTCGCATATCTGGATACCGTGGACTTGATACAGTTCTGTGATGTCTACCCAAAACTCCAGTTTGTCTTGCAAAACGGAAGAGTGATTAGAACCATCGACTTCTCCAGGAAATTCGAGGTAATCAATCTTGACATATGTCAATTCATCACAACTAAGCTCAACTATAACTGCATAAACACTTTGAAAATCGATGGGATATATTGGATACCAGCTGAAGACCTTAGACGTTTAATCAAGCGTCTAGACAACCTCAAAGAACTGTACGCCTTGGATACCACTTTAAGCGTACTGGAGAATGACATTGTGGAATATTTCAAACTAAGAAGATTATCTCTAACCGTTGAAGATGTTCATTTCGAGCAAGAGACAGTTTTATTCGCCAGGCACCTTTCAGAATTGAAATACTTCTTCGTGAAGATAACCTGGAAGCAAGAAGACCATGCCACTGGAGCTACAAACTTGATGTCTTTCTTCTCAAGAATGAAGCAGCTGAAAGAATTGTGGGTGTGTGACATTGAAGAAAGCTTGAACAGAATAGACTATGAAAGAATAACAGTTTCATTGCCGAATTTGAATAAGCTTGTTATAAAAACGAGAGGTATGCTACCATATTATGACTGGAAATATTTAGGATTGTACAAAGTTTTTGAATGTAAAAGGAATCATTTTGAAACTGATTGCATTTGGGAAAAAGTCAGAACTAGGGGTTCCATACTCAGACTATCGTCATTTGATTCTACAAAGACTGGGCTTGAAAAAGGTTGGAATACCTTTACGAGTTTATGCAAAGACCTGCCTTGTGGAATGTCAGAAAGCAGAAAACTTTATTTAGGCGAGGATATCATGAATATTACCTTCACAGATTTAAATTTTTGCCATACGGTTTTGATATGTAACGCGAAATATTACGAAGCCGCATTTGAAATGCTTTCTTCTCCAAATGCAATAAGTTTGAAAAGGCTGAGTTTCAGATCATGCATTTTTTCTACTGTTGAGCAGGATAAATTGAAAACTCTCACAAACGGCTTCAAAAAAAATCAAATTAACTCTGAGGGGCATTCATTCAGCGAAGTGGCTGAAAATATAAAGTATTTGACTGAGTTGGAGGTCTATACCTGCCCTGATTGTATTATTGACTGGTCTGAATCTGGTTATATATCTATAAGTACATTCGCAAATCTAGAAAGATTGACATTAGAAGTTTTACATTTGGTAGATGGGTCCTTTCTTGAAGAAATATTCTTGAAGTGTGGGAATCTACGTTTTTTCAGTTTAACTTGTGAAAACCCCAACGAAATGTTCTTTTTCAATCTATGTAGACACTTGAGACATGCATCTGCATTGAGAGATTTCAGATTGGTGTATAAGAAAATTGCTATAGACACTCTCATCAAAAGTTTTAATAGCATGAGGGACAAAAAGTTACAACGGATATTTTTGAGCTGCGAGTATATACGATATGCTTGCAAGAAGACTGGTAAAAATATCTATGCTGAATTCTTCCAAGAGAATCCTCAGCTCGTGTTATTTTTTCTAGTTGCTTCTAAACAGACGGGAAAGCAGAATAACGACATTCAGAAAACTTTGAATGAATACAGGGACCACCCTTCTAAAGTTTTCCTCATGCATAAAGATATTAGTTTTGTGAAAACTGGCTTTCCTATACCAAGTGCGCATCACGATATTGTTTTCAATCGAACGAATGTGTCTGTTGTACATTTTGAGGAATTCAGCACTATCAGTTCATAAAACTATGCCATTATTGACCTAAAATGCTCCATTTTATTCATTTTTATTTTAATTGTTAAGAAATCTACTTGAACCATATTGGACCATTTCTATTCTGTTATTCAACACTGTACTATCCTCGTGCAATAAAGTTATGACTCTTCAACAATAAACTTATTTTACTAATTAGCCGAAAAATAGTACACTACCAAACTGAAAGTGTGCATTCAGATAAGTTGAAGTATCCCTGTACTGAGTGTTTTAAATTCGACTTTCACCGCTGGGATCTCGGAAACGGCAAAAGATACAGTGGGTTAAATGGACGCAAAGTTGCGCATTTAGCTAACTAATAAAAGGACACTTAAGTTTCGCAATTTAGGTTGGGTTTCAAGATTTTCACTTTTTCCCTATACAGGCTGGCGTAATTGAAACTCCATTATCACGTTTCGTCTATTGTCCTCATGCAATCGTCACTTTATTTTTTCATATGGACGCCATATTGAATTTTTACATAGACGAATTAGTTTTAAATTCTGATTAAAAAAATGTGTAATGTAGCATACTTTGGGATTGAGAAAGATTATGTCAAACAGCCTAATATTTTCATAGTGCATGTGAAAATGACATCTTATCACATGCTTATTCGATTGCATCACCACTTCAAGGTTGATTCAGTTTTCGTGCAGTATATTTAAAGACATTCAAGATAGATCAATATCCATAATTGTAAGATCGGTTTATATATATATATAAGTAAGTGCAGAGTAGTTAGCTATAGCAGAAAGAAAAATGTTTGTGTATTCAACTATAATATCGATGGTGTGGTGCTGGAAAGAAGCGATATAGTCAAAGATTTGGGTATTATATATGACCATAAATTAACATTTACTACTCATATTTCGCGGAAAGTTTCGGAAGCCTTTAAGTCTTACGGTTTCATTATCAGGAACTGTAAGCGATTTGATAACTTAAGGGCCTTAAAAGTCTTATATTTTACATATGTACGTACAAAACTAGAATATGCGAGTGTTGTATGGAATCCGTATTACCAGACTTATATAAATGATATTGAGAGGGTCCAAAGAAAATTTCTAAAGTTTCTATACTTCAAATCTGAAGGAGTTTACCCTGAGCAAGGCATTAGCAATATGGAACTATGTGAGCGTATTGAAATTCATAGTTTAGAATGCAGAAGGAAAGTTTCATCTGCCATATTCCTTTTTAAACTGCTAAATAGCATTATTGACTCCCCAGTCATTTTGGCACAGATTAATTTCAATGTTCCTTCGTTCTCTTCACGCAACTATGTAACTTTTAAGCTATCAAGAGCTAGGACCAAGTTGTTAGTCAAATCTCCTATATATGTTATGTGTAAACATCTAAATTGTATTAGCTGTCATTGTGATATATTTACTTGTTCGCTTAACTCAGTAGTTAGAATGGCTTATTTATATTTGAAATAACTTCTTTTTTTTTAAACACCACTGAATATTATTTAATTGTGCCTATGTAATTGTCCTATAAATGGGGTAACTGTTGGACAATAAACGCTATTATTATTATTATTATTATTATATATGAGAGATATGGAATATGTTTAGCAACCTCCACTATCGTCGAGCCCTCTACCTTGTTTCCTTGTTTTGTTTTTTGAAGTTACGCTGTTTCTAAATTGGATTGCATGAATTTTATCTTGAACGTGATAACCTTGTCTTTGCGCATTGGGCTCTAATTTCACGCCAGGGTCTCAACGACACTTTACGGCGAACGTATGCACGTACATAAACAATTAGTTTTATTGTATATATTGTATATTATAATAGACGAAAATACACCTGGTTTAAGCAATAATTGTAAAGTCTAGTTTTATTGCTGCTAGTTGTTCAAGAGGATATTTAAAACATGGACGCATAAGATGGGTACACCAATGGTAGCTCATTTGTTCAATTAGTCACAAATACGAAATGTTTGGATTTGTTTAGAAGAAAAAAACGTAACATTTGTTTTTCGCACAAAAATAATATGTATCTTTTGGAATGGTTTGTGATTCATATCGGCAAGGTAAACACGTGTATTTTGCTATTAAATGCTCTTTGAACGAACTCTATATGCTATATTGCTCAATAAACTAGTAGTGATGGCCAGAAAACAGGTGTAGAAGTATGAATCCTACGGGTTTGAAGAATTTTAAGTAGTTGCAAGACATTATCGTCGCCAAAACCTGCATTTTGCCTCGTTTTTTGACCATAACATTTTTGCTATTAGTCGGATCTTTTTACGTTTAGCCTCATTTTGTAGGTCTCATAAATACTTAAAAATCTTATAAGGAAAGTTTTTTTGTTCCTGTCAACACCTTCGATTGAATCCCAAAATAACACGTTTTCTCATTCTTTGACGTCAAATAAAAAGTTTTCCCACAAAAATTGGTGTACCCATTTTATGCGTCCATGCGACGTTACAATTATTTGGGGGAAATTTGCAAATATGATTAGACTATGTGTATATAATAATGCGCTAGTGTTCTACGAGCCCCTTCCCACTTCAGTTGGCCCACTTCAAGATTTGTACCAAAATATGCCTTTATAAACTAAACATGACGAAACTATTTACTTCTAAAACAATTTATTTTCTCAAAAACATTTTAGATACACTCTAGTCGTAAAAAATACATATTTGAAATCACTTAGACCTATAACTAATAGAACATCTGAACAAATAAACAATGTGCGAATAAATACGCGAAGCTAACAAAGCAACAATTGAAAGATTACCATTGGGTAACATCACCTTTATTTTTTATTACGGCTGAAATTCTTTGGGGCATAGTGTTAACCAAGTTTTGGCAAAAATTTGGTGTAAAACAATCCCATATTTCTTGAAGCTTTTGTCTCAGTTCGGTGATTGTACGAGCAGGATGTTGTCGTAGAACCTTTTTCATCTCGTGCCACAAAGTTTCAATAGGTGACAGATCTGGACTGCTAGAAATCCAATTCAAAAGTGGTACATTATTTCCTTCCATCCATTTTATAGCCTTTTTTGAGGTATGGCACGCTGCACCATCTTGCTGAAACACAAAATCTTGGCCGGATATCAAACATTCTTCTGTCACTGGTAAAAGCGATTCTTCTAAAATTGCCAAATATTTTTTTGTATCCACATTTCCATCAATAAAATGAAGTTTTCCTACTCCTTTTGATGACATACTGCCCCAGACCATAATGGATGCTGGAAATTTCACTTTTCTCTTCAGACAGTCAACATGGAATGCTTCATTTTTTTTGCGAATAACTCTACTGCGACTGTCACCAACACAAACTTCGAATCGGGCCTCATCACTCTATTGTATTGCACACCATTGTTGAGGTGTCCATTGTCTATATTCTTTAGCCCATCTAAGCCGATTTTTCTTTTGCGGTGGAGTTAATAGTGGCTTTTCTTTGGCCTATAAACGAGTTGTGCAACTTTAGGGTTTTTACTTCACTTTTTTTATAAGAAAACTTACCTTGCAAGTGCTAAATCCCAGTTTGTGGGCCTCTCTATGAGTTGTGGACCTCGAAATTCTCCTTCCAACAGCGTCACTCCACAGAGCACTTAATTGTAATTCTTAATGCTCTTCAGTCGGCATTTGTGATATTACTTTTTTTCACATATCGTGGCTTAATATTAACTGAACCAGTTGCGTTATATCTTCTAACAATATTTCTCACATTGTACCGCGATAAGTCTAACAAAGTTGCAATTTCTGAGTTGGATTTCCCAGAATTAAAAAATTTAATTATCAGTAACCGAATTTTCTCACTAATAAGCTTTCCTCTATCCATTTTGAAAACCTTAACTACCCAAAACTATTTTAAACATATACTGACAGCTGTGATTAATAAAAACAATTGTCATGGCTTTTATTTTTCACCTATGCGTTATAGACTTATTTTGCATTGAAATGAAAATAGGTTGATATACTGTAATTACAACATGTTATTTTTATGCTGCAAATTTGATTAGGGAGTGATAAAGTTGGTGTTTTCTACTATATATTATCAAAATATTCATTGTTAATATTTTAAACGTACAACACCCTGCTACATTTTTTATTATTTGTGTTTGATAAGAAAAAAACTAAGATTTCAATAGTTGGGCCAACTGAAGTGGGAAGGGGCTCGTATTCTATGGTATTTTTTCATTCTATTTTATCTAAAAGGCTTATACTATAAATTGCACGTGTTGAACTTAGACAACTTTGATTGCACGTAGCTGTATAATCGCTTGCTAATTTGTTATATCATCGAATATAAAACACGTTTTCTATGTGAGAATAAATTCAAATTTGAAAGGTATTAATTGTTTCATATTTCATTTCCCATGCACACTTTGTCAAGAAAAATATATACTTCGACAACGTAAACATTATCCGTGGTAAGTTTTAAATTACCTCTTTTTTCATTCATAACCTCTCTGAATAGAAATATTGTTTGTTTTGTTAAATTGTTTAAATAAAATTATTTGTTTGAACTTTAAAACACGTTAACATATAATAAGTACTTCATGTAAATAATAATTTACGTACATAAGTTCACGTAAACGTAATTTACATTCACTTTCTTCTGCTCAACAGCAACACTATTATTATTTACATTTAAATTATCAGTAACAAGTAATTAATTGAATAAGTTGATAAGATTAAGAAAAAGTGAAAGATATTTCTCAATGTGTTATCCGCTACAAAATTGCCGGCACTTTATCAATTTAAACGCGGTCTGTAGATTAAATTCATTCAGTTCAGTGTTGCAGAGCACCTAATACAGAGGTAGGTACTCTGTTTTATTTTACAGTTGATATAGTCCAGTGAACTTTTGTAAACATTTCTCAAGAGGCATCGAATTGATCCTTTAAAATGTACGAAAAAATAATAAAAAGCGAACTGAATGGCGATGTGCGTATAGTGGATTTACGTAGTGACACAATTAGTAAACCTACTCAAGCTATGAGGGAAGCTATGTACACCGCAATTGTGGGAGATAATGTGTATGGTGAAGACCCTACTGTAGACGAGTTGGAGCAAAAAGCTGCAGAGCTTCTAGGGAAGGAAGATGCGCTTTTTGTTTGCAGTGGGACAATGGCAAATCTAATAGCTAGTAAGTTTTATGAAGCATTATACGAACCATCAAAATGTTATAGGTAAACATATATTATACCTTAGGTAACAGGTGTAACGGTATTACTCCAAAAAAAAAACTGTTGGAATGAATCTTCACTCTCTAAATATTGAGAATGAGTATATGATCAAGAAGCTTCTATTTTATTACTCTATAGTGCAAATCGATTGTCAACTGGGGGTTAAAGATTACACGAGCAATGGAACGAAGAACCGCGTTACAAATTAATATTAACATGATGTGATGCATCCTAAAGATCCAACTTTTTTCGTTTTTCAGAAATAACCCTGCAGATAATTTTGTTAAAATTCGTTGAAAGTGAGCATCTACCGTATAGCCGAAGATTTGACAAAAATCAATTAAAAAAAACACCTTATTATAGCCACAATAGTTGTCTAACTTGATATTACAAAAATAATTCGTGTTTATGAAAACTTTCCATTTGAATCACAGGACACATTAATTAAAGGTTGATCAGATAGTTTAACACCATTTATATTTTACATAAACTTTTTTCATTATATATTTATGAACCACTGAACCAGTTTTTAACTTACCTTACATGTTTTAAACCAAAAATATTAACAGTACAATACTCAAGTGGACATCAAAATCTCAACATTTCTGACAAACAGTTCATTTGTTAAAATATATAACAAAAAACATCCTTTGATCAATGTTTAGAAATGATTAAATGGCAGGGTCAAATCAACTGCACCGACTTTTTATCAAGTCTATTGACTTATTACAGATAATTCCAATATTTATATTGTGTCTGTGAAATAAAATGAGATTTTTTCTTTTTGGGATGAAAACATTGTCATTTAAAATACTTATATTTGATTAAATCAAAAATGTATTAACAGAGATTTCGAAACCTAATGGGATGAATTAATATACTGAACGAGTATCCATTCATAGATGATTAATTCATAATTATTTTTAGTTATGGTCCACTGTAATAAAAGAGGAAGTGAACTGATTTCTGGCGATAGAAGTCACACTTTCAGGTTTGAACAAGGTAGGCACTTGTAATTTTTATTTTCTCTTTCAATAATTATAAAAATTGGCGTTAACTTTTTGACATCTAGTTTTACGTGATATTTTCAACTTACAACGAATTCTTGAAAGTCACTCTAAGTGACATATGAAATGATACACCCAGAATTATTTATTGAATTTTGATAAAAACTGTAAACAGTAGACCTAAAACTAGTATGCTCAAAATTACAGCATTCCTAGTCAGTGTTGCATTTTCTATGCCATTCAGTATATTAGTAAAGTATACTAAGTGACATACAAATCCGAACACCCAGTTTAAATGGTTTTATTTTAATAAAAGTTGGTGAATGTATTTATCTTACTGTAAATAACAAGTGAAAAATTTTTCACCCTTATCAGTTGGACATTCCGGTTTTTATACTGCTTTTTTTTAATTCACTAACGCTCTAAAAATGAATATTTCAGCCGCAGTAAAGAATCAACGTTGGCGGATTTTGGTTCTTGACATCCTTTACGATCGGTTACGATGTCTAGAGTACGGAGACCTGTACGATTTCGTCAATTTAGTGAGATTGATAGAGGCCGTATAGTGGGACTTCGGGAAGCTAGACTTTCTTTTCGGGCAATTGCAGTTAGAGTGCAAATAAGTGTAGACACTGTGGTTAGGTGTTGTCAGGCAGGTAGAACAACAGACCGTGAAGATCGCCGCCTAAGATTATTGGCCTTAAGGGACCGTTTCTCCACTACCAGGTCCATTGCAAATGAATGGTTTGCAGAACACGGAAGACCTATTGGCATGCGAAGTGTTTACCGACGAATGAGAAGTTTTGGCTTGTTTTCATACCGGCCACACTGGGTCCTCCCTTTAACTCGAAAACACCGACGTAATCGCCTTGAGTGGTGCAGATAACGGTCACTCTGGGATCAGGAATGGAACAGTATTGTCTTTAGTGACGAGTCTCGATTTTGTTTAGGCATGCACGATGGTCGTGCCAGGGTTAGAAGGCGACGTGGTGAAAGGAGGAATCCACAGTTTTTTGTTGAAAGACATGTTCATCACACTGTTGGAATTATGGTTTGGGGTGCTATAGCTTATGGTTCCAGGTCACCTTTAATCTTCATCAGAGGTAACATGAACGCGCAGCGTTATATCCACGAAGTTCTAGAACCCCATCTTTTACCCTATCTTGTCACCCTGGCAGATCCAACTTTCCAACAAGATAATGCCCGACCACATGTTGCAAGAGTCACAATAGACTTCTTTCAACATAATGATGTCACATTGTTACCATGGCCACCAAGATCTCCCGACTTATCCCCAATTGAGCACGTGTGGGATATGATGGGTAGGAGATTGCGCAATTTGCAACGTCCTCCTCAGACTCTAGAAGCACTTCGAGAGGAGTTGGTGGTTGCCTGGAATGAGATACCACAGGAGGACATTGACCACCTGATCAGAAGCGTGCCTAGGCGCGTTGGAGAATGCGTAGCACATCAGGGTGCATCCACACATTATTAAAGGTCAAAGGGCTTTAAAGCAGTGCAATCATTTTGAAATTTTTATCATTTACTTATTATGCTTCATTAAGTACTTATACAAAATTTTATTAAAATAAAACCATTTAAACTGGGTGTTCGGATTTATATGTCACTTAGTATATGTATGTTTGCCCAATAGGTGGTTCAGCTCAAATTGCTGGAGTACAAACGGCATTGGTAAAAAACAATGAAGATGGAACATTCAGCCTGGATGAGCTCAGAGAAAGAATCAGGAAAAATCCTGATATGCACGAACCTAAAACGTCCCTGATTGTTGTAGAAAATACGCATAACTTGTGCGGAGGAAAGGTAAGTTTATCACCAAAACAAAATTACATAAATTCCCGACGTACCAATAATCGAGAAAAATTGCAAAAATTCATTATGACTTTTATTGAATCTTTTCAAACCATTTTTTATCGAAAAATAGTTGTGGACTCAACGGAAAACTTATCCTCTGGGATCTTTTTAGATGATTCACACAGTGTTGTCTTCGCCATTGAAGCTTTTTTCTGTAAAAAATAGTGGGCTGCCTATATGAGCAATTATCTCTTCGTTAAAGCATTAAAAGTTCCGTAATTTTCCAGGTGTTGCCATTGGATTGGTTGGAAAAGGTAGGCTTCATAGCAGCAGAACACAATATTCCAGTTCACATGGACGGTGCTAGGTTGATGAATGCAGCTGTATATCTGAAAGTCCCTCCTCGAAGGGTTGTGAAAGACGTTGACACAGTTTGCTTCTGTCTGAGCAAAGGGTTAGGTTGTCCTGTTGGTGCTGTTTTGGTGGGAAGCAAAAGTTTTATCAATGAGTAAGTAAATATGCTTATTTTCGTTCAAACATTTGGTAGTTTGTGAATGTTTTTCTCTTCGGGAATTACGCTACGATCTTTTCCATTTTCTTAAATCAGACTGTCACACTAGACTATCGGGAACTGATAGCTAGATGATAAGATCCAAACTTCGTCGGAAAAAGTAACGTTAAGGGTCTTGAGTCTTATTATGATACAAGCAGATGAAGTGCTGTACATGTTGTTATTCCTCCAAATTCAGGCAGTGATGAAAAAGAGTTTTTAACATAAACAATTACAGTGATGAAATTTTAGAAAAACTAGAAGCGTTCAATTTTAGTTTATTTAAATTTAATCAATTTATGATATTTGCCAAGTCAGAATTTAGCATTTTTAAAGCAGTGTTTATATTTTCATTTGATATGTATATTAATGTATCATCTGCAGATATCTGAATTCTACAATAAAATATTAGAAATGTCATTAACGTATAAAATAAATAGTAGTGGACCTAGTTGATAATGTAGATCCAATTTTGATTCTTTTACTTCTGTCAAATAATCAGATTTGTAGAATTTTGAATGCAGATCCTTTAAATCCGTAGTGATGCAATTTTGTAAGTAATGTATCCCTGTCAATAGTTACAAACGCCTTTTTGCAGTCCAAAAACGCTGTCACTGTAAGTTTCCTACTGTCCATACATCTCTTCCAGTCCTCTAAAACCATTTGTATTGCCGTTTGATTTGAGTGTTTCTTCTTTAATCCAGCTTGAAATTTTGTTAACATTGTATTTCCTCCGATAAATTCGATGATGTGTTCGTAAATAATTTCTTCAAAGACTTTTTCAACATCTGGCAGAACATTTATTGGTCGCATATTGATGCACAACTCAGAATTCTCATTTTTTTTAGCGCAGAACACGTTAGTTTTGTTGGAAATTCGCCATATTGTAAACAGCAATTTATCAGGATTAATATTCTTGCTCCATAATATCAAAATATTCATTAAGCACCATTTAAGACAAAATCAATTTTGATATAACGTTCTTGAGACGATTAATGTTTATTGTTCTGAAATGTAAAGACGACCACAGAAAATATCATATCTTTATTGATGTCTGACGAAATAATTTGCTAATATGGAATAAGAACTGAGATCATTGTTTTCTTGCGAATTCGCAAATGTATTATCACAGTTATTGCTTAAAATCCAAAATGACGTAAACATATACAGAATCAGCTCGGCGAGGACGTGTTGTTCTTTCAACTCCATTGTGAAATTTGAGTGGAAATAAAAGTGCGGTACGAAAACGTGATATGAATGTAAATAATATGATGAAATAACTGTTGGAATTTTTTTATTGTTCAATCAAAATATGTATTGCCTAAATTACTTTTATACACGTTATCGGGTGTTTGTGTGATTTTTGAGTATGCCAAGTACTTCAGAAATAAACTTATCAAACCAAAATAGTCATTGAATCAAAACATACATAAATACAAATATTGCTTGTTCTATTTAAAAGTTAGCATAACATATATACGTAATGATTGAAAAGGCCTTTGCAAACTAATAAAAGCTTATTTTGGAAAAATACCTTGAACAGGTTTTCTTTGAATTTTCACTTCTCAGGTGTAATAATGTCAGGTAACTCAAAAACTGTAAAGGGTGTTTCCCAATTGAATGTCAATATTTGAGTGGTCGATTTTTAGGTCCATTTTAAGACGATAACTTTATATGGACGAATTTCCTAAACGTCTTAACTTCTGGGAGACAGGGTGATAAGTTTTCTAAAATAAATCATTCATCATTACCTGTAATTCCACTTTAGGTATTTTATTGAAATTTGGCATACATATACCATGTATATAGAGCCATTTTTAACGTATATTTTTGTCAATCAGGGGCGTTCGTATGTAATTTCACCTGCCTATTTTGGCAGACATTTCTAAGCAAATTTCATCGCTTGATTTTGTCAATTCCAGGCACGGTTAATGCTTAAAAAATAAAAACCGTTTCTCTGCATGAGCAAACAACATCGTTAATATGACAATATCACCATGCAGAGAAAATCGTATTCATATAAAAGTATTGTTGATATTGTAGGTACTGCCAATGCTGCACCTGACTATATGAAAATCAGTTTCCAGGGGGAAATGTTGCATACACTTTCAAAATTTCACAGCGTATCATTGAATTATCTAAGAAAAAAAGTAAACAGTTTAAAATCAAATAACAACTGTGCCGAAATGACTACTAAAAACGTGCTGAAAAACTGTTTCGAAATTTTGGGATATCCTGTATTAAATTGGATCAATTGTTCACTAAGAAGCAGTTCTTTCCCTGAAAATTTGAAATGCTCTACAATAACACCAGTTCCCAAAATAAAAAATTCTAAAAGATGCAGCGATATGAGACCAGTAAATGTGTTACCAGACATTGAAAAATTATTAGAGTCCATAGTGCATGACCAATTAATGCAGTTTATAGAAGAAAACAAAATTTTAGTGGAGGCGCAAGCAGGCTTTCGAAAAAAATATTCCACAGAAACAGCTTTCCAGTTGGTAACTGAGAATTGGAGAAGAGCCATAGACTCAGAAGAAGTTGTCATAGCAGTATTTTTGGATTTGAAGAGGGCATTTGAAACGATTGATAGAGATATTTTGTTAGGTAAATTGAAGGCATATGGTATAACAGGAAGTGTTTTAGATTGGTTTAGAAATTATTTGTCTAAAAGGATGCAAGTTACAAAAGTTAATGACACTATTTCATCAAAAATTGAAAATACGTTGGGTGTTCCACAGGGCAGTATCCTGGGACCACTTTTTTTATTTTATACATAAATGATTTACCTGCCATAGTCAAAAAATGCAAAATTCAAATTTTCGCCGATGACACTATGATTTATATAAGTACTAAAAATATTCAGTCTGGTATCTGTTATATAAATGAAGACTTGAAGCTTGTCTCAAAATGGTTAGCATCTAACAGACTAAAATTAAATGCAAGTAAAACGAAAGCCTTGTTAATCGGAAAAAAACAATGTACAAATGTTCAACTGAATATTGATGGTGAAGATATTGAAATCGTAGAAAATTTTAAATACCTGGGAGTTTTTGTTGACTCTCGATTAATTTTTGATATTCATTATGAAAAAGTTATAAATAAGATTTGTAGTAAAGTGGGATATGTATCGAGAGTTTCTGGATGTCTGAGTTCATATAGCAGAAAAATTATCTATAATACCATCATTCTTCCAAATTTCTTGTACTGTTCGACTATTCTATATTTAGCAAATAATTCCATTTTTGAAAGACTGCAAATTTTACAAAATAAGTGCATGAGAATAATACTAAATAAAGATAAATATACTCCAATTAGGCAAATGCTTACCAAATTAAAATGGCTCAATGTAAAAAATTTTATCAAATATCTTGTAATGATATTCATTTATAAAGTAAAAAATAATATATTTCCATCAAGTCTAACTAATTTAACATCATCAAATGTCGACCATCATTTACATAATACCAGAAATAAAGATGACTTCCATTTAATGACCAAAAAGTATAACATATGCTACAAATCTGTATTCCATCAAGGGTTGATTGAATATAATAAATTATACTCGGAGATAAAAGACCAGAAAACTTTGACAAAATTTAAAGTAAAATTGAGAAATCACTTGTTAAATCTACAATTATAGGTTGCCCAGCATTTACATCATACACCATATGGCTTGAATTTACTAGTTCTAAGTTGTTTACAATTGTTCTGTTTATGTAGCCAAATGTGCTAAATAAATCTTTCTACTACTACTACTATTTATGAGCAGATTTGATCTCTTGAATTTTTTTAGTCCGCCGCACGGTGTTCAACTAAAAAATGAAGGATAGATAGATAGATAGTTAGTTTATTGTCCTATTAGGTCATGTTACATGATATAAGACTTGTCAATATCAATTTGAGGGTCATATATGCGTTTGAGCAAATATGCCAGAAAAATACTTATAATTATAAAATAAATAAGGACATTACAATTACAAAACATTTTAAAAGGTTAAATTACATTATAGGTACAGGTACAGTGCAAGAATCGTAATGTGTTCAATCTGTAACGGTAAAAATATATACATATACAGCGACTTTTTTTATCACAAAAAATGTTCGTCTAGCCGGTAAAAATCATTGAAGCTGATACAAAGAAAAGAAAAGCGGTAGGAGAATCTGTTAGAAATACATAATATATAAAACACAATAAACATCCCGCAGTGAGGACAAATGGTTAAAAGCTTAAAAAGAAAACATACATACTTTCGTTAAAACTCGAATAAAAAGTGAAATTAAAATACATTTACTCCACTATAATAGACAATTCACTGATAACGAAATGATTAACAGCTTAAAAGAATTTAAAAAACAGATACTTTCATGTGTTAGTAAAACTCATGTAGAGAGTAATAGCATTTTTCAACCAGATATTTCCTGAAATGTTTTTTCAGCGCAAGGATATTAGTGCTTCTCCGCAACTCACTCGGCAGATTATTGTATACCTTAGTGCACGCTAGAGTGGGAGATTTTTGGAATAGGGCAGAGTTATGTGTCGGTATACTTAGATCATGCCCTATTCTAGTGTTGTATTGACTATTAGTGGCGTTGTTACGAACATATCTATTGCTATGTTCAAATGCGAAGATGGCACATTTGTAGATATAGATGGAAGTTAATATAAGTAGATTATAGCGTCTAAATATTTCTTTACAAGAGTCCCTCTTATTACTATTAAAAATTAATCGAAGTACTCTTTTCTGCAGGATGAATAATCTGTTAATCATTGTTGCCTGTCCCCATATGATTATATTGTTAGTGAGATCAGAATAAACTAGCGCGTAGTACATATCTAAGAGTGAGTTTAGATGGATGTTAGGCTTTAATTTCAATATTGCAAAATAAGCACTGTTAATTTTGTTGCAAATGTGATTTATTTGTGGTTGCCAGCTTAACTTACTATCAACATGAGTTCCTAAGAAGCCGTCAAGGTCTGGAAAAATAGGCAGATGAAATTCCATACGAACGCCACTGGTGGACATTAAAAAAATATACATATTCATAGTACGCCAAATTCCATTATAATATCTAAAGTGGTATCTCTGTATCTCAAAAATTAAGACGTTTAGGAAATACGTTCATATGAAGTTTTCTTCTTAAAATGTGCTCAAAAATGGTGCCTCAAATATTGAAATTTAACTAGGAAACACCCTGTACGTATTGTTGGATTCCAAGAATTGAATTTTGCACTAAAAATAATACCCAAATATTTGAAAGTGGTTATAAGAAATCAAAAAGAACGATATTGCTAGACAAGCGTTTTAGAAATACCCTTTCAAGTTGAATGGTGTCTGGTCTCATTTTAGGCGATTGGCATGTTAACAGCCAAACACACCCAGTACGCGTAGACTATTATTAGTGTAATTATCTCCCGAGAGACATTTGAATTATATTAGATAATTAGATGGTATTAAGTTAATTTCAGAACGATTAAGATACTGGAGCACATAACATGCAATGCAATGTTCTCTGCCATTGCGTTTCTAAGTATAAGGGAGTGGACAAAACAAACCCATATTTTAATTAGAACAATGCACCGCTACATTTTTCAAATATTTTAAAGGAAAGTCGAGATACAATTAAATCAGAAAAATGTGCTCCATGAGAGTCATGGAGCATTAACTGAATAGAATCTAAAAAAAATGTTATCGGTGCAGTTTTTTTCTATGATCTATACACTTGTTCATGCATTCGAACCATTTTTCATAGCACATTTTCGACTCCGCTTGAGATATCTCCAAAACATACTTTATGAACTCATCAACAATTTATTCTTAACGTACGGGAACAAAAAGAAGTCATTGGGTGCCAAATCTGGACTGTACGGAGGATGAAACATTGAATCAATATTCTGAGTGCTCAAACAGTCCATTGTTTCACGAGAGACGTGAGAGCTAGTCGGCGCTTGTTGGTTTTCCTAATTTTACCGAAGACTTTCAGCAAACAAACAGTTTTGTACCATTCAGAATTAACTGTTTCAAGTTCCTCTAAGGGTACGGTTGCCACATGACCAGTTTTTTCAAAAAAACAGGTGACTATTTGTGTCGCGAAGTGCTTCGTGCGCGACGAACCTTTGTCGGATTTGGCCCGTCTTGAAACACCCCACTGCTGTTTCCTTTCCAGCTCATAAGCATAGATCCATGATTTATCACCTGTTACAATCTTATTCACGTCTTCTGAAGCACCGCCGTTGTATTTTTCTGTTTGCACCAATCGACACGAGCCTCTCTTTGAGCTTTTGTCAAATTATATCCAATGAGAACAGCCCTTTTTCGCAGCTAAATGATCATGTAATATTTTATATATGCTAGTGGAACTAATGCCTAAAAGACTGCCTCAATCTCACAATATGTCACATGACGATCTTGCATTATTAGTTTTTGCACAGCATCAATGTTTTCTGATTTTGGACGTCCTTTACGACTTTCGTCACCAAGAGAATGTCGGCCACGATTAAATTCGTTATACCATCGTTTCACATTGGCAAAGGATTGAGTTCCATCACCAAAAGTCGAAGTAAGTTAATCGAAGCATTCCTGCCTTGATAATTCACGTCGAAAGTCGTAATCGATCATCACACAAAAAGGTTCACGAGTCAATTCTATCTTTTCACTGAGACACAGTGTTCAAATCGCTATCTACAACATAAATCGTGCTGAAATGACAAAACGTTCTTATGTTTAAAGATATCAAACATGCAATTGGAAACGTCAGATGGAGCCTAAGCACACTTGATGTTGCCGAGGCTCAAAATCTAAATAGCGACCCTCGTATAGATTCGCACTGTTGGTATTTAGGTCAAATTTTTGTTTCTGGTTTGTCAAATTTTATAATAATGTTTTATTTATTTTCTAGGGCAAAACATGCTAGAAAAGCGCTCGGTGGAGGATGGAGACAAGCAGGCATTTTGGCAGCTGCTGGTTTAGTGGCTTTGGATTCAATGATTGACAGGTTACAGGTTGACCATGATCACACATTCAAAATCGCCAGAGGTAAATAGATCATTTTTATTGGATTTATCTTTATTCACCAGGGTAACATATATTAACGCGAAAAATCATATTCAAGAATACTGCATCCTTTTTGAGGGCAAACCTTCCATACCTAATGAATAAGTGTCTCTTCACTGTAAACCATATAACAAGATTTTCGTTAAGTTTCGCGTTATCCTATAATTTGAGAATGCAATGGGCTTAGCAAAAATATATCCTATGCATGTTCAGGTGATACTAAGAAATGTTTAATGAGGGATAACGTGCATCATATTAAAAGCATGGGGCTTTATATCAGTATACATATAAATTTTTAAACATAAGAGGATGACTTACTAGTGACACAACTCAGTGCTTTGGGTTGGTGCTTGTATTAACTGGTGATGAGAGTCGTCGAGCATAATACTTTCAAGACAGGTAAGTACATGGGCTTTATTAATTTATTTAAACAATTTATTGCCGTCTAAATGACTTTTCGCTTATAAATTAACAAGTTCAATAATAATTTTGTCGTTAGATCTATTGGGTTCATTTCATTTATTTTTATCAAAACATTGCATGCTTCATCAGGTTTTCATAGCTGATAGAAAATATTCCCGCTCCTGTTCATTCTTAAAATTAGTATGTTTACCATTAAAAAATCTTTAATAATACGCCAAATGTATCACTAATATAGTTGTATAGTCTTGCTGATTCTGATTTTCCTACTGTGTTTTCTTTTGCTCAATCGTTAACGATATCATATTTTTGTAATTTCTTTCGAGATAAGAAAGTTTAAAGCACTCTGACATCTGAAACATACGCGACCAATAACCTAGTTTATCTCTATACACACCGATGCCGTCGATCCATAGACTGTATACAAGACCTTGGCTCACATTAGATTTTCTTTTGATATCTGTTATCTGGGTTAGAAATAATTGATTGTCATGGCCTTAGGAGAACTATCATTTACCTATGACAACGAGGAATATAACATGGTCGTTTAATAGACTTTTGTATTATTCATTGGAAAACGGTGCGTCTGAATGAAAAGCTGCATGAATTACTTTTTAAGTAGCATCAATCTGGCCGTTTTATACTGACACTATTTTTTGCAAAAACCAGTGGCATACGGTTTTTTTGTTTGTAAACATAGGCTGCTCATATATACATATATGAATATTACTCATAGACAAATACCTTTTGAAAAAATCTATTACTGGCATGTTATACATGACATTTGAATGCACATATCTGATCAGATATTGGCAATTATACAGGGTGTCCCAATTTTGAGCTACATATCAAAGTTGTGATTTTTTTAATGGAATGCCTCAAATTTTATTGCATATTTGGATAAAATAATTCAAAAGAAGAAGATTGATACATACTATGGGCTTTTGGAAATTAGGTACTGAGATGTAAGGTTTTTTGTCCAGAAAAACCGTCCACTTCGGCAACCCCTCAATCCGCCATTTTAAAATTTGGAGTGCGGAATTTTGTATCAAAAAAAACTTACACACCTCAGCTTTTATCTTGTTTGTTACTTTTTCTAATTTTGATTTTTTGCTCTGACAGGGTGGTCAAAAACGCGAATTGTACTTTTTCTCAAAAATTTCAAATGCATCACCCTGTATATTAGTGCAAGTTTGGATTCAATTTTTTAAAAGCTTTTTTTTGGTATAAGTTTGATTCAGATAAAATCACTAGATTTTGAGTTATTAAGCTTTTAATAGAACAACACACCAAAATTAAGGAACAAAATCACATCATCCATGGAAACAAAAGACAAACAATGGGCTAGTTCCATGGCCAATATTCTAGAAATGTGCCCTCAAATGTCATGTATAACATCCCATAAATAGATTTTCCCAGAATGTATTTGTTTATGGGTAATATTCCGCCCACACATGGATGGGCCACCCTGTATATATGAGCAGTACGTGAGCAGCAGTCATTGCTATTGCCAACGACCAGTTGGGCAAAAAAATACAATTAATTGTTAATTTGGAAATTGGCAAACTTTGTAGGCTTTAATTAACTCTTTTGACAGTAATCTCTAGCTTTCGGCAATTCTCTATGGAGCCTTCATCAGGAGTTTATATATATATATATATATAAACTAAAGCTGCCCTTCAGTTTTCCTGTTATCATTTTGCAACACCCTTCATAGCATTGTATTCACCAGTCTTTTCGTGCTACTCATTCTCAGCTTCTTCTCTTTCGATTTCTTGTATTAACTCAATTCCTTAATATTTTTTTAGCAATATACTCCATGAAATCGAACATCTTTAAAGCAGATCTATCAACAGTGCAAACCAACATAGTGATAATGTACATCGATCGTACAAAAGTGGAAATCCGCGAACTGCAGCGTAGATTGCAGACTGTGTTAGAGACTGATACGGTGAAGGCAAGCGTGAGATGCTCCTCTTTGAACTGGGATTGCGTCAGGTTCGTCCTTTATCATGAAATCACCAGTGAAGATGTGCAGTTGGTCTGTGAGAAGATACAATTGGTTATTAGCGAATATGATGAGAAGTTCAGACTTAGGAGGGCTGTGCATTAGGAGATAGCTTGAGTTGTTTGATATACGAGCCCTAACACAAAATAGTTCGGACATTATCTAATTTTATATTGAAGTTTGTTTATTTTTTTAAGGTTACAAAATAATTTTCTTTCTTCTATAATACATTGAAATATATTGTTTGGACATCATATTAACAAATTAGTATCAAGTAATATGATATTAAACTATAAAACTAAACTAATATTGATAACCATTTCAATAGCTCATTATGTCACCCTTTGCCTTAATAACAGCATTAATTCTGGCTTGCATAGTTTTAACAAGGTTTCCGCAGTCTTCCGCATTAAAAGAATTCCATATATTTTGTAATGTTACTCGTAAATCAGAAATGTAAAGATTTCACTGAATAAATATGCCATATGTCCCTTAAATGCAATCTACGTACCGACCAGACTTATGAATCCACCGACGGCACGTTTCTCGTGAAACATTTCCTGCTGTTTCTTCATCCCATTTTGCTGTTATGCCCCTTACAGTACCTTGACGACCAGCTTTACAAATACGAACAAGAGATCTTTGCATTCTAGGACTGATCTTACGTGGCCTACCAACACCGTGTCTTGAAACTTGAGTTGAATCTGTGTCTCCCGAAAATTCTTTCCTTTATGAAACAATTTTAACATTAAAACTCTGATCGCACCGTTTGTTGCTTTACCACGCGACATTTTAGAGCAAATTGACGCACAGAATTGATTCTTAAATCAAAACGTCAAATTGTAAACACTATTTCATAACATATTACTTGAAAACGGTTTTGTTAGTATGATGTGCAAACAATATATTTCATTGTCTTATAGAAGAAAAACAAATTAATTTTTAACCTTACAAAAATAAACAAACTTTTAGACAAAATTGATAATCTCCGAACATTTTTGTGTTAGGGCTCTTAGTTGTATTTTGAATGTTGCAAGTATGCTTTGGATAGTTGTAGTTAATCGTAAAAAAGATCTGAAACTCCAAAATATTGAATTTTGGTCTAAACCGTTTACTGGAAGTCGTTTTTTATGATGCTTAGGGGAAGACACACTTTTAATATGGAAGCTTATCAGACAACTAAGGAAATTGATTTTTGTCACGTAAGTCTGCGGAAAATTTAGAAAATTTGTTTACTATGTTTTATATATCTTAAGTGAAGGATATTTTAAAAATACGCGGTACTTCGTTTTTGTGCATTCACAAATTCTTAACGATTTTGAGATGTATTTTTGTGAGGTTTCATAAATTCTGAAATATGAAGCAGCTCTCTAGTTAATTTATATATAGAAAATATAATTGAAATATCTCCTGCCAAAATGTACTGAACACATGCAAATATTTATTATATATTGTGATGGCTGTATTTGTTTTTTAACAAATTTGTTTATATAATTAATTTGTTTGAATTGTACATGCATGTGGTATTATAAGATTGTTTGTGCAGTTTTTATAAAAATACTCCACAAGGTTTGCATCAGAGTAAATATGTTTTATATCTCCACTATGATGGTATTATTCCTATTGCGGAACAATGTTTTTTTCCTACACTCAAGTAGTGAATATTTTTCTATATCGGATTACGAAATGCACATTATTATGCCAGTAACTGGGGTCAGAAACTTTGATATCTCTTGTCTAAATTGCTTCACATTATAAATCATAACACCATTAGAAGTAGTTTGTTACTGCAGGATTTGTTTGTAATTGTATACAAAATATCTATGCTTATTACTTAGATTTAAGCGTACCACATCCTTTTTACACTGCATAAGTACTCAATGTAAAATATTTTATCTAAATTTGTAGAATTTTTTTACTATTTTTGTAGTACTCAGGCTAATGTATGCCGGCCTTATAATTATATTCCATGACAAAGGTACTGCCTATTTTTGTATTAAAAGAATATTTCTATACTTGTTTTTTATTCGTAGAAGTCATCTGGCCCTTATATCATCGGCCGTCCGTAAATTCGAATGGTTCTTAACACAACAAGAAACAATCACCAATTAGTCGGACAGAGCCAGGATAGTGTCGTGCGAGTAGCAGCACTCCAAACAAGTGAACAGTATGCAGGCTAAGGCTTTCCTTTTTTTGTATAAACCGAAGCAGATGCGCAGGCAGTAGCCTAAATGCCAGGGCAACGCGGCTGCTATGAGGATACCAAAGAAATTTGAAATTGCCTAAGGTTAGCAGAACTGGGAAAAGCCTCCTCTTGTAGACTGTTCCACAATCTCGACACCCTCGGGACAAAGGAGCGATCGTATCGGCCAGTTCTGGATGTACGAAGTTCGACACGGTTAGGATGGCAAACCGAAGTCAGACGGGTGTGTCTGGCAGGCACGTCGCGCGGCGGCATCATGAAGGAGGGCTGTGAGGAGCAAAGCCCGTTGGTGTAGCGGTAGAAGAGATCTAGACGGCGACGAGCCATCGATCAGTCGGACAGCCCTCCTCTGGACAGCAGCGAGCATAAATAACGTAGTCGGGGCGGCAGCACCCCAAACGCGTGAGCAATACTTGAGGCTAGGTCTCATCTGGTCCTTGTAAAGAGTGATGAGGTCATGCGGAGATAAGTACTTCTTAGCCCTTAACAAATAGCATAGCATCTGCCGCTATTCAAGTCCTGGGTGATCTGGACTAAGCGCTAAGACGCTTTTTTTGTCAAAGTACAGAACTGTGTTTTGGAAGCATCAAACTGAACAAGATTGAAGCATACCCAAGCAGTTATAACGTCCAGATCTTTCGTCAGAGGAAGTCGTCGCTAGTCTTCTTTTTTCCAGCTCAGCGGCAAAGATCGGCTTGTCACTCTAAATTCCTGCATCTAGAGTGCTGTCATCAGCGAAGCTGAGGAACGGTGTCGGAGCCAAGACCGATCCGTGGGAGACACCCGCGTTGGAGAGGATGAACCTGTCAATTGCGATAGATATCTTGCGGTCAGAAGCCACCCGTCTGCAAAGCTCCGCCATAGGACGGAAGCTTGCACAAGAGGGCAGCGAGTCACAGCTGATCGACCGCTTTCATTGTATCAAGAGCAACGACCTGAGCCTCACCATAAGACTGAATGAATTTACCATACAATTGCGGACCCATTTAGATCGCTGGTATCGAAATCATGCAAAATATATTCTCGGTGATATGTTCTACGACAAGCAGAAACGAATGGCTTCTCGGCAAAGCTCGCCATTCATAAAAACTGGATGAGAGAGCTCCTAGGTCTTTGGTCTTTTCTCAAAGAGAATCTAGTTATTACTATCAAGCTGAGTTTTTAACGTGCACCATGCTGTGAAGTAGCACATGGACACAAAGGCTAAAATGCAGCTCTAACACTAACCGCCTTTCCTACAAACTTTAACGAACAGTCACAGATTTAGAAGGTCAGGCATGATCAAGGGATTTCAATAAAAATGACCATTTTCCAGCATCACAACTCAGGCGCATCCACGAGTATCCATCACGTCTACTGAGATGAACAGCTGCTCAGCAAGTGACATCTTAGTATTTGTCTGTAACGTTGCCAATACTGAATCGGGTGTAAATCTAGTAAAACCTGCTTGTAGAGCTTTTTTGTATGCAAACGAACTTTTCTAAATAAAAGAGTTGTTAAAAATGAATCTGTAGCGTACAAAAAAAAATCAAAACAAAATAGGGCTCTGTTTACCTGACATTATCGGATCCATCACAATTATGTGTCATTTGTGAAAAAAACGAATTTTGAAATATTAGTAGATATTCAGCTGTTATTCTACCGTAATGGGGAAAATACAATATATGCGTTTAAGACAAATATATCTACGAACAGAGTGAACACAGTGAACTCGGTAAATATAGTGTTCACACAGTGGCTTCAGTGCTTTTCTTATATTTCTGTTGTGTTAACAAAGTTTGTTCCTAAGATTAGTGTGTTATTCCCAACGCACCACAAAAGAAATACTTATACACTTTTAGCTGATCCAGAGATTAGAAACTTGATAATAATTTTTCTGACATTTTAGAAATGTTAGTGGACTGGCTCCAACACTTTTTTTGATTTTGAGATAGAGCTAAACCGTCGAATTTGTTAGCGCTTGCGCGTGTATGGAACAAATGGCGTCGATGTTTATATACTAAGTGACATATAAATCAGAACACCCAGTTTAAATGGTTTTATTTTAATAAAAGTTGGTGAATGTATTTATCTTACTGTAAATAACAAGTGAAAAAATTTTCAGCCTTATCAGTTGGACGTTCCGGTTTTTATACTGCTTTTTTTTAATTCACTAACGCTCTAAAAATGAATATTTCAGCCGCAGTAAAGAATCAACGTTGGCGGATTTTGGTTCTTGACATCCTTTACGATCGGTTACGATGCCTAGAGTACGGAGACCTGTTCGATTTCGTCAACTTAGTGAGTTTGATAGGGGCCGTATAGTGGAACTTCGGGAAGCTGGACTTTCTTTTCGGGCAATTGCAGTTAGAGTGCAAAGAAGTGTAGACACTGTGGTTAGGTGTTGTCAGGCATGGCTTCGAGAAGGCCGTACGCAAAGAGCAAGGGGCACTGGACGCCGCCGTAGAACAACAGACCGTGAAGATCGCCGCCTAAGGGACCGTTTCTCCACTACCAGGTCCATTGCAAATGAATGGTTTGCAGAACACGGAAAACCTATTGGCATGCGAAGTGTTTACCGACGAATGAGAAGTTTTGGCTTGTTTTCATACCGGCCACACTGGGTCCTCCCTTTAACTCGAGAACACCGACGTAATCGCCTTGAGTGGTGCAGACAACGGTCACTCTGGGATCAGGAATGGAACAGTATTGTCTTTAGTGACGAGTCTCGATTTTGTTTAGGCATGCACGATGGTCGTGCCAGGGTTAGAAGGCGACGTGGTGAAAGGAGGAATCCACAATTTTTTGTTGAAAGACATGTTCATCACACTGTTGGAGTTATGGTTTGGGGTGCTATAGCTTATGGTTCCAGGTCACCTTTAATCTTCATCACAGGTAACATGAACGCACAGCGTTATATCCACGAAGTTCTAGAACCCCATCTTTTACCCTATCTTGACACCCTGGCAGATCCAGCTTTCCAACAAGATAATGCCCGACCACATGTTGCAAGAGTCACAATAGACTTATTTCAACATAATGATGTCACATTGTTACCATGGCCACCAAGATCTCCCGACTTATCCCCAATTGAGCACGTGTGGGATATGATGGGTAGGAGATTGCTCAATTTGCAACGTCCTCCTCAGACTCTAGAAGCACTTCGAGAGGAGTTGGTGGTTGCCTGGAATGAGATACCACTGGAGGACATTGACCACCTGATCAGAAGCATGCCTAGGCGCGTTGGAGAATGCGTAGCACATCAGGGTGCATCCACACGTTATTAAAGGTCAAAGGGCTTTAAAGCAGTGCAATCATTTTGAAATTTTTATCATTTACTTATTATGCTTCATTAAGTACTTATACAAAATTTTATTAAAATAAAACCATTTAAACTGGGTGTTCGGATTTATATGTCACTTAGTATAGCTTGGAAGCTGAATTTTATGCGTTTTCTAACTTTTCACCTTTGATTTAATTAAATTCATTATTTATTAGCGACAAAAAAGGAAATCCCATAACCTGAAACAAAAGTCCAAGGGGCTCTACGTATACAGGATGTTTCATAACTGATTGTCAATATTTAAGAGATATCATAAGTGAATAAGGATATTTTAGTCCGACACACGGTTTTCATCTAGAAAATAAAAACTATTTCTTGGTGATATTGTCATATTAACGAGATTGTTATAATAATGCAGAGAAACGGTTTTTTTTTAAGTAAAAACTACGCATTGGATTGAAACATCAAGCAATGAAATTTGCTCAGAAATGACTAGATATTTGAATAATAATTTCATTTTAAGAATTCAGTGGAGTACCATCAGTCAGCTAAAATAGGGAGGTGAAGTTCGTAAGATCGCCACCGATGGAAATTAAAAAAAATGTAGTAAGATACTCTTTTCTCTCTTTCAGAAAGGCTGAGGTATTTTTAGATTTTTACCGATCTGTGTGAGCGTTCAGCGCTTTTCTATTGGCTGATGTAACAGATATCAATCAAAAGCATGAACAATTTGATGCAAATAGATATTTGTAGCATAACCTAAAATTAGAGCGCGGACACGGAACAGTAGAAAACTATGAAAATCAAAAAGGCG